CCCTAATATATTCATGTAATTTGCAGATTAATTGCATAAAAAATAGTATTTATTAGTATCTATGGCAACAATTCAAACACTGCGCAATAATAACCAGTAATTAATTAATTAATAAGAAATTGCTTTCAAAAACGGTATTGGAAAGTTCTTTAAGGTAACGCCTTTGCGATAGAATTATAAAAGTTCATAAATTAATCACAGAAATTAAGTAATTTGTTAAATTTTCACTACCGGAGCCCTTCTATCCTTTTCTAACTGCTCTCTATCCTCGTCTGTCACGTGACGAGCTTTTCGATGACTTCCTCGCTTATCTGTGTTCCTATTACCGAACTCGAGCTTCGAGTCCAAAATCATAGATGGCGCTGATCGTTTGAACTTTTATCCTTGTCTACCTTATTGAAGGAATTAGGGCCGTATCAGTGAGTTACATTAGGGGTGTATTGAGTTTATTAATAGGATTTGTTCTATGTATAAATTTGGCTGCACATTTTAGACAACATATCTTTTTTAACCCTTTAGTATTTTTACAATAACACAAAAGGACATACGGTACTTATACGTAAATAATATTAACTATTAATTTTAACAATTTATCTATATAATCTATATAGTCATAAGGAATTGTATATTTTTTCTCGTAGATTGTCATATGTTAGCTGCATCGCATTTAGTACTCAGAATATGTGTAGCTACGGCACTGTCGAGTCTAGAGAATCAAGCAATGGCTGTGTGGCAGTAAAACCCCATATACATGTTACTCACGAATACATTCTCTAATCGAATTGAAAACTGTTTTAACAATTTTGTGCGATGGTTTCTTCCTCAGGAAAGCCTGCAGAATATAAATAATACTATGTAGCAAATTCATGATAGATAAAGACTTCTTGTAAAAATGCAAGAATAGTACGTAAAGAGTAAGATAAGCTGTTTATTTTTAATTTTGATGACCAGTTATAATTATTCAAAAACACAAATAATTATAATTTTGAACATTGATAAACTCAGGATACTTGTACCTAACTTTTAAGACAAGAATAAACTCCCTAACGTTCTTACTTTTAACATAATATTACATTTATGCCAAAAATTTTAGAAAAACCTTTTTAGAAACACTCATAATTTTCGAAAACAGAGGGTGATAAAGCATTTTCAATTATGGATTCGTTCTTAAGAAAGTATACTCGACAAGAATTACCCAATTGATATTACAAATAGAAAATCGTGTTAAACAGTGTTATTAGGCATCTCTTTTTTCTTTCTTATAAGAGAAATAATCTTACTATATTTTTCCTTGTTTTCTTTTTTTTTTGCAGATACGTATACAATGTTATGTAACATACCAAATCTTCTGATTATTTATTAAATATATATCAATATTCATCCAAAGTGAAAATTTTTAAAAGTTAAAATTTCATTCATCGTAAGAATAATTAAAAGATCCTGAGTTGAGGATAGGAGATAAATAATAAATTGCTCTTGAATGTTTCTACGTTATCGAGTTATTTTTGGATTAATCTTTACCAGATGTTTCATCTTTGTTTTCGCACGTTTATATAGCTGCTGCACACTTTGTGCTCTGCCGGCTATGTCCGGGGAGTTGTTTCCAAAATCGTTGTTTCGTGTGGAAAATAAGGCACGTCGAATAGATTTCTGTGCCGAATGGCGAAGCGTTATCAGTGACAGGTCTTATCGAGACGTCGTAAGACAGGCTCCATCGATTCTCTAGCTTGAAATCAATATCCAGAACCTTCGTGCCATGAGTACAATGCTAGCATGGCTGAGCTCATCTGGACCACGACATTTAAAATTTTTCTGTCGCAAAAATTTTCTAATCGGACTTAAATACATTTTCGGTTAATCCAATGAATATGACAATAACAGAACACTCTTATCATTCCTGAAACTTTATTCTTACATTTAGAAGCGATATAATAAATGGGGAACATCGCAACAATTGGACGACGTTCCTTTCATTATTCCATGTAGAACCAAAAGAAAAAAATCAATTAAAAAGTAATTAGTACGAATTCATGACCGAAAGCTTAGGTAGGATTACAGTCTCTTAAAAAAATATCGTGTTCCTTGTTTTCCATTGTTTCGCCAGCCATTTTCGCTTTATCTTTGTTTTCAAAGTGTTCTCCATTCTCGAGGTAGCAGCTCTCGATTGAGTGGCACTCTATAGGACACCCCTTGAAAGTTTCGCGCTATTGATTATCACTGGAATTCGATAGCCACGCTATGTCTTCTTTCGAACCAGTACCACGTGGTTCCCTATACTTTTAGTTCGATTCAGCAATAAGATACCTAGAACAAAAATGGAAATTTATTTTAGGCCATTATTATACTAAATGCCGTTCAAGTCAACGATTCAACCCTATTTCGTGGATTCACTTCTTCCTGTAATACTTTGTGATTACATCGACTGTTCCTATCTGGTCATGGTGAAAAATTTGCTTTTATATCGAAAATAAAATTTCATTCGTGAAGTGTAACGAGTTATTCGACTAATTAGCGTATAACGATTTTTAAGGCAAATTTCCTTCGAGGATAGATCGTTATCTAACTTTTCTCGTTACTCTTACAAAGAACTTTTGACTCGTATCTTTACGAATATTCGCGATGTTTCATTTGTCAGTAATGGAGATTTAACACGTATTTCTGATTCTTGACAGATACACAGAACTACCGGTTGTTAGCTCTTTGAAACATCGATCGATAATCGAAGTTGGTCGCGCGTTCGCATTACGAATTTAAACTCTGGCAGAGTATGGCGCACTGTACGACTTTCTATAGAATTTGTAGCTTTTCTAGTAGACGCATCAAACTCGATTCAATCATATATACAGATATTTCTAAAAATATTGAGGAATGATGTCACTTTTGTTCGAAACAACAGGAACATACAATTTGATGTTTCACAAGAATATAACAGCTTCCAACAAAGCGTATTCTGAAACTTACAGTCAATTCACCCTTTCTACCACGATTTATTTGCAAGTGAGCATGTCCATACATTTCATACGACCATGTTCACATAACCTTTCATACGCAGAGAAGTGTGTCAAAGCTTTGCGGTACTTTTTTCCTCCCTCCTACGAATCCGACATCATGACAAAATGCATTTTAGTTTCTTGCGTTTTGATAACAAATGGCAGACATAATTGTCGGAAAAATTATTTTTCATTTGAACGTATATATGTGTTGACAGGTAACTACAATTATCTGTAATATTGCTACTGAAGGAAATTCTTAAAACAAATACGTCGTTGCTTAATTATATCCTTAAATGTAATTAAATGCATATATGTAAATAAATATATATACGTAATGGACCACGCGCTTGTTTCAGGTCATAACTTGGTCATTAACTCCTTATACTACAATAACGAGTCTAACACGTCATGAGTTTTCCATGCTAAACCCTATAAAGATGAATTACATTCACGTTACATTAAACTTATATTTACCATACTTTAACATGCGAAAAATTCATATAAATTCTAAAAGTTTTTATAATTTTATTGCAAATAAAAAAGATATATGGTGTCTGATTAAAATTAAATAATTTAAAAATGCACAGTTTCTCATATTACAGTGAAAGGGGTTAATGCATTTACGAAAAAATGCAAAAGGAGAAAAATAAATGAAGAGTTCCTAATAAATTGGATTCGTCGTTATAGTGCAAAGAGTTAATGGGGATGTATAATAAGGATAGAGGATAAAAAGAAATTTGGTGGTTTGTGCAGATATGGGGAGTGTCGTAGGCAGCAACGTAAACGTAAGCAACGTAACGACGAGGAGGATGGACTCGACGACGTTCCTGCCGGAAGCGACGTCGACCCTCAGCGAGCGGGAGCAACTCAAAATTGAATTTTACAAAACTTACGATGTTATGACCGGGGTCAGAATCGCAGCGACTCTCGGTGGTTTTTTCGGTCTTATGATCCTTCTGCTTGTTTATAAAAGCAGGCAAGTTCTTTCTTCGCGCTTTCCTCGCTTTTCCTCTTTTTTTTTTTGTTTTTTATTGTGTACGGCAACCTAATTTTAGAGTCTAAATTTTGGACGAGTTGTTCGAGATTCAGCGTTTAAATGTTTCGTAAATTTTCAAAAATTACCATTACCCGTATTTTAATGAAATTTGTTCTACGATTGGAAAACATTTACGAAGATTAATTGGCGTTCAAGTCTAAAAAATATTTCGCAATATTAGTAGAAGAATATGTTTACCCCGACTTTCGAAAACGTCAGTGCCGATGAATTTTGTTTTCGAAGTTTACAAAACTGCTTATTCCAATTTCTATCGAAAGCAACGTATTTTTAACGGTTAATTTATTAATTTACGTCTGTGAATTAATTGTGATTTCTGCTTCGAGGTAGATCATATTCTCGAATACCTAAGACAAGTTATTTTTATGAAGTTATAAATGGTATAAATAAAAGGAAAAGGGTAAAAAGAGGATATGTGGGATAGGTGCAAATCGAGCAAGCAGTTGGAGGATCCAAGACTGACCGCAGCTGCAGCCGCAGCGGTAGCTGAAGCAGAAGCCGAGGAAAGAGCCCTCGCAGCCGCCCTCGAAGCCATCGCCAGATTACCACCTAGGCCAGATCGGGGTCCTAGAAGATCTCTTTGTGTCGAGGTCAGTCTATTCAATTGATTGTATTAAAGTAGAATTCATTTTTCTAATTTTATATTACCTACTTTCATCGATGCCTGCAATCGTAAGCTCTTATTGGTGCAATAGAACGCCGATTACCCAAATTAACTGGGAGACAAATATATGCGTATGATCGGTTTCTTAATCTGAAAGAAAGAAATTTTGAATAATCTTAGGTCTTTGAATATCGTATAGTTTAATTTTTAACTTTTTCAAACAATATTATAACCTTAGAAAGGAAAGGGATGACCAAAATTGTAGTTTAAAATAAATTCTTTTTATTGCCAGAACGATAGAGTTTTCTAAAAAAAAGGATAATGGTAATATAAAAATGATATATTCTGATTAAAGGTAACCCAGTCTCATTTGCCAAAAATCGGCCCGCGTTTCGCGTCGATTGGGGGTGGTTACGAGGCTCTATTAACGCCACCAACAAAGCAGCCGAATTTGGCACCTCCTGAAGAACAAAGAAGATACAGTTCGGTGACGTGTAGCAGCACTGGGAGTAGTTATCTTGAAAGGAGAGGGTCTGCGATGCCGGTACCATGTTTGCCGCTTCATCCTACGTTTTCGACGAAATACGCTGCCCACGATGAACCCTGGGATCTTTATTATCCCATCGATATTCAGGTGATTTTTCAAAATTACCTTCTTCGCTCATGATCATTTGTTAATTGCTATTTGCAATTTGAGATGATAGACACACAGGTACTAACGTAACTTCACACCGGTGTTTAAAGAAGATGAAAGATTCGAGTCTCTGTTAAAATTTTTGTAAATAAATAACACTCGTTTGTAGGTAATCCAACCAACCCCAGAGCTTTCTCCATGCACAAGCGAAGCAGGACTCTACGCAAACGAAGTGATAATCACAGGAACTAGCGGTAAAAGAGCTCCATTGGCTTCTATGGGTAGTGTTGATCCTCCGGAACCAGACTCAAGGTTAGCAATGTATATACGTTTGTGAATAAATTATGACTATTGTGAAAGTATGTTGTTTTTTTCCACTGATAACTTCAATTGGACTTAACCCCATGTTGATTTTCTCTATATGTGCATTTATAGTTGCAATTATTCAAGGTCGCTTGGTTCCGACTCGGTCTTCCTGAGAAACGACGAGCAAGAAGAGTGTCTCGACACGGAAGATGAGGTGTCCGGGTTCTCGACTGACTCCGAAGCACCTGGGCCGAGCTGTCGTCGGTTTCTTCGGGTACCCTCGAAAAAGAAGAAAACGGTCGAGAAATGGGATGGTTGTGCTGGGTGTGTCCCTAGACGGCGGCCTGGAGGCAAACCTTGTCAAGCTTGTCATAGTATTAGTGCAGCTGTTGAAACTTCCAGGTACGCCTAGCAAAATATTTTTTATATTATTATTTTTAAATTGAACAATCTTTACTCTTACTTAATAAATTATCTTGTCATAAATCGCTCTTGACTTATAATTTCTTTGAAAATTATTATATACTGAGAATAATTTTGGAAGTGGCTATAAATGTATTGGTAGGTCTCAGGCAGTCTCTACGAGCACCAGCAGCCAGAGTAGCCTCGGTTCTCCACCGTGTTCACCAGCCATCGAGCTCAGGCATAGACCACCACCGGCGCCATTACCATCAAGTCCACCGGTCTGGTCACAAGAAACACTCTTTTAGTTCTTCAAAAACTTGCCAGAACGTTTTAAAATGACCAGTAATCGCACAAAGGTATCCTTTTCATGGGAAATGAAGGATGGTGGAAACGAAGAATAATCACAACTTTCGATGGAGTAAGAAATTGGATATGAGAACGTTAGAGTTGGAAGTCATGATAGAATCACTAGAACAAAAGAACTTGCAGAAGAATAGGATAGGGAGAGAAAGAAGAGAAGTGACTGGAATTAGGGAAGTCACTCAGCGGAAAAGGAAGAAATTGAATTATTGGACAAAGTACTTAAACAGAAGGAAACATCTAAGCGAAATGCGAATGTGTAGAATAGGTAAAGTTTTGATGTTTGGAAGAAATAGAAAATTTTGGACTTAGGAAGTAACGGACTTCATGTGAAGAATGAATTGTAAACATTAGAAGAAAAAAAAAAGAGGAAGAAAAAGAAGAAGGCAGACAAAGTATAAGAAAATGTAATTAGGTGTAGAAAATAATAGAAAAAGTATAAATATCAAAACTTCAATGAAACAGATAAGTAGCCGGAAAGGAATGCGGAAAAATTCCAATTTTTGCTTAAGGCAAAACTAAAGAAACATCAAACTTTTATGGGTAAAAAGGCGAAAATGAGAAACGAAGGTAAACGAAAAATGGAATAGAAAAGCAGGAAATTTATATAATAAAGTTTAAGGTACAAGAGGAAGAAAAAGAAGCAAATACTAACAGACTAATTAATCGTTAAACGAACTGTTGTAAAAAGAAGAAAATGGTAGCGTACTATAGATATATATTGTATATAAAAAAACATAAAAAAGAAAACAAAGAAAAAAACTCGAATTCGTTTTTTTTTCGTATTCAAAAAAAAAAAAAAAAAAAAGGAAAGCGAAGAAAACGCATCATGTTTGTATTGCGTTAGAGAAAAAATCAAAACTTTTAAAAAGAAGTTGATCTAGTTGTGCGTATAAAAAAAAAGAGCATTATGAAAAGTACTTCGACTTCTCGTTGATAATTTTTTATTTTGTTTTTTAATGTTTATCTATGTATGTGCGTTTAATACGCGCAACTAAAGATAAAAGCTAGATTAATCAGGACGGAAACTAGAGGGGGAAATAAACTAGAAGTTGTGTAAATTATCAATTTATTATTTTCGAAATTAAAGAAATATTTTTTTTAAGTCACGAATGATCACATTTAAATTATGGTTTCACGTTATATGGAAATAAAATTGTTACGAAGAAAAAGATTATTTGGTTTAAATTAATTTACGTTGCAAGTTAATATAAATTACTTTCTTGATAAGAAATGAAAGATCGTGCCGCCAAATAACATTTTAACTCCTTCCACTTCAATTAAAATCAAAAGTGCTAATCCTTCTCAAATCTTTTTTCCAATTTTCCTTCATTTAAAATCTTTTTTTTTTTTCTTTATGCTTGCTTAATTGATTAATTAATGACGCTTTGATGACTGCCAATCCAGAAGCAGAATTCCTTCGTGTACGTATGTGTGGCTTGTGCATATATGCGCGTGAGAATGTATATGAATGTGCGTACTCGTGTATAGAAAACTAGAAGAAAAGAAACAAAGCCAAATATTAATAATATTGTAAATTTTTCCATTATTCGGGACGCGTTTATAATCTCTACTGTTTTGATTTATAATACAAATATTTTATACTTCCTCTTTTTAATTGGAAACTATTACGCTATCTTCATTCCGTTAAGCTATTTGATTTCATTGTGTCAAATTATCATCTATTAATAGCATTTCATGCTTGTTTATTGATTGATCCCTTCAATCGTCAATTTGTCGTTTTATATTGTGTAATTTATGGACGATTTATTTCGTATTATCGGTAAATGCTGTTTTTATTCGCTTATTTTCAAATAAATTCTATTCTTGAATCTGTATGATAAGAGGGGCAATATAAAGATGAACCCGATAACACACGTTTAATAATTACGTTACAACGCGAAACTTTTGTTGGTGCCTTTCCGCTGGATCTTCTTCCATTATCATTTAGATAGTACCATCGCGTAAAATGAATCAAAACATAATTAACAATTTAGTTCAACAAATAGACATAGTGATGACAATCATAATCATAATTGTGATTATTTTTGTCAGCGTAATTATAACATGGGAAGGAAATTATTTAAGGCAACAAAAAAGAAAAAACGAATTGACGTCTAGCAAAGAAGCAGAAAACAATTATAACAATAGCGTTTAATGATTACGTGAAGAAAAAATAAATAAGAAATAAAGAGCAATAGAAAAATCTGTAAATTAGAGAAGAAAATGAGGGAAGGAAAGATGCGAACGATAACAAGTATAGACGGAAATAATAATGCAAGAGAAAAAGAAAAAAGTTGATTATGATTATAATAACGATCATGATTGCGAAAAAGAAAACTATTATCCTTTCGTAATATTTTAAAGAGAATAATCTTTCCTGATATACGGAACAATAAAACTTTCACCATTTCCTACTATCATTTTCTTTCATCGAACCTTCCTTTTAAAAAGATTGTTCTTTCCCGTATACGTATGATTGGACAGCTTCCACCAAAGATATTAATGTATTGAAATATCTGTTATGTTTAAATTAATATTAACTAAGACATTTCATCGAATTTATTTCTTTTTATAAATTTTCTTCCCTACTCGCCAATCGATGAAGTAGTGGAAGAAGAAGAAGAAAAATTGTAACAAAATGTGAGAATCGTTTAGTTATATCAAAAACCAAGCAATTCACAGACGAATTTTATTCCACATAAATATTCTTTGTTGAATATTTCAATTGTTGAGCATGGTTATTGAAATACGAGCGAATCACGATAATAATGAAAGTAATCCTTTCTACATCTGTATCCTTACAAACTTACAAGGAATATTTTACAATGGGAGTGTACTTGACTTACGCTGTTTATAACAATAATCTTTCCAATCCTTACTTGACAACCTTTTTGCAATGAATGAATAGTAAAGTACTCATTTTCTTTGCCGTGTCTCTATTTTTTCAGATACAAAATAAAATGTACATGTTGAACATAAATTGTTGCAGTAATATTTTCCACGATTTTTTTATTTAACAATTTTTCTATCTTCATTTCTTTTTTCTATTTATATATAAAGGTAACAACGCCATTTATATCTTTGAAAAAGGGAAGAAAAGAAATTTTACGTTTTTAGACTTTTTTTCCTATAGCTGTTTTTTACTTCATCCAGAAGTCAATCGATTAAATCTTTTTGCAATGTCCAAAATTATAAGATGTGCCTGTTATCAGTGCAAAGTGATAACCCGCGGTATTGATAACACAAGTGATTTTTGTTTAAATCGTAGTTACGCAAAATCAGTCTTCTAATAACTTTCAAGACACTCACTTGAAATTGATGTTTTGGAATTTCAATTATACACTACCATAATGTAAATTAAAAAATTTGGTAATCACCAATTTATCGGTTAGCTAATAAAGATTACAGGTTGCTTCGATTTAAGAATTTATCATTTGAAAAAATTAAGTTGATTATCGTTTAAGAGAACTTGATAGAATTTAGATTAAAAGAGAATATTAATAATTAACCCAGAGATTGTTGTGGAAAAATTGATCAACCATGGATTTCACAAGATTTTTAACAAAAATCACGAACAGACGAAAACCAAGTATTCTCCGTGAATGGGGTAAGAAAAGTACTTACTTTTTAATAGCTTATTATTATAATAGTGTTGTTTTCATTGTAACTGAAATTGCAACGTTATGTCATTATCTGTAATATGTGATATTTTACTATTTTGTACTGATTATTAAAAAATTCATAACGTCACATTTATTGCTAAATTTTTAAGTATTCGTAGTTTAAATCTAATAACAATTTTTTATTTAATAAAGCGAAAAAATTTATGGAATGTGAAAATGGAATAAACCTGGCTAATGGAATGCCAAATGCAAAGATGTTTCCCTTCGAAGAAATCTCCGTAATGTACACAAGCGGAATCAATGTAAAATTAACTGGAAATGACCTGACTTGGTCCCTGCAATATGGACCTTCTCAAGGGTAATTTTTGAAATGAAAAACAGAATAATACTTTACTATAGTATTTTGGATTTTGCACAAATAGAAATGAATTTTTAAATTCCACATTTTGCTATATATAATTTTTATTTTTATATAACATTTATATAATAATATAATAAAATATAATAATATAACATAATTATATAATAAAATATTTATATTATCGTGCATTTCTTCTGTAATCATTTGTATGCTTATTATTACGATTTAAGACAATTACCACTATTAAAAAAAGTGCGAGAATTTCAAGAATATTGGCATAAGCCAAAATATAATGATTGGGACATACTTTTTACATCTGGATCGATGGACGGATGTAATAAAGTTTTCGAAATGATTCTAGAAATTGGTGATCCTGTAATGGTTCAAGTTCCTACTTACGATGGAATTCTAAATGCGGTAAATTTTCATCGTCTATTTATCTTCTTTATTTTTTTCAATAATGTTAATTTCTTTATTAAATTGCATTCTAGTTGCTTTAATAATTCCTGAAAAATTTTATTCGTTGTTATTCGATTTAATTAAATATTATTTAACATTATTTCTTTTTCAGCTTGCACCACAGATGCCAGAATTCATCGAAATTAAACAAGACGAGGATGGTATAATTCCAGGAAATATAGTAAAAGTATGTGAAATAAGACAACGTGCAGGTAAACCAATACCAAAAGTGAGTTGTGAAAAACATTATAAAATTTGATTTTTAACTCTTTCTATTCATTCCATAATTATTATTTTGTTATCGCAATATAAAAATATTCTTTTACATAGATTCTGTATGTAAATCCAACCGGAGCCAATCCAACGGGGACAGTTTTAACAAATATTCGTAGAAAGGAAATTTATGAGTTAGCTGAAATGTACAACTTCATAATTCTCGAAGATGATCCATATCGTTTTGTTCATTTTGTCGATGAAAACCCTACTACATTCCTCGAATTGGATACAAATGGACGTGTGATACGTTTGGATTCTTTCAGCAAAATTATTAGCTCTGGTCTTCGGTTAGGTATCGTTACTGCGCACAAAGAATTTATTAAAAAATTAACTATACATATGGAAACAACAAATATTCATCCTTCTTCATTATCCCAAGTAATTTAACAATTTTACATCGATTTATAAAATGTATAAAGAGATCGAGATAATTTTTATAAATGAGTACGTTACGATTTGTTATTCGTCGATAATTATTGTGTTTCAGATGTTAATATTCAAATTATTGACTACATGGGAGTTGCCGAGATTACAGCAACATTTCGACGATATTAAAAAATTTTATCATCAGAGACGAGACATTATGTTGTCCTTAATTGAAGAACATCTTACAGGTATCCTCTACTGAAAATGTTTAAAAATACTTTTCCATGAGAATCGAAATTTTTCTTAGTTACATTATTTTTTGTTTGTAAAAAACTATAATTGTATAGGTTTGGTAGAATGGAATGTTCCCAAAGGTGGAATGTTCATTTGGATAAAGGTAAATAACATGAAGGACGTAATGGAATTGGTACAAAAAAAGTGTATCTCCCAGCGAATTTTTGTCCTTTCCGGTCATGCATTTAATTACGATCGCTTGAAGGCTGAACAGCATATAAGACTCTGCTATAGTTACGCGTCACCAGAAGAAATCGATAAGGTTCTAGGTTTTTTTAGTTATACTTTATTTGCTTCACCTACTGATTAATAATTTTATTTCGAACTTCAGTATGCGATTATTTACCTTATTACAGTGATTCCTATAAAATCTTTATCTGTTAAATATTTTACCATCTCTATTTGTAAATTTTATTAAAGTTTTTTTCATTTTCAGGCACTTTCAACACTAGCTATGTTGATACGCGAAGAAATAAAAAAATAGATTAATAAAAGGAATTGAAATATATATACATATATGTTATTTATATTACTTCTTCATTTTAGTATTATAATCATATAAATAATTTGTTTGTAACTTAAAATTAAAAATTTAAAGAACAAGAATGTTATACCAAAATTTTAAACACCTTAATTTACTTTCTATAGAGAATAAATAACATAGATAAATGTGCTCTAATTTATAATAAAATAAATTTAAAAACCTTTATTACATTTATTTATATATTTTTATAAATTTTTGTTTATATTTTCTATAATTTTCAATAAAAAAATACGCATCAATTCATATTGCTATCAAATAAAATAAAGTATAATTTATGTAGTTGCTTTTCTTAATGTTTTCAATCTTGCTTCCATTCATTGATAGATATCGAACTCGATCTTGAATTATCGATAGAATTTTGAACTTACAGTTTAAAATTTACAATACATAATATGAACTACTATAAAAATATTGAACAGACAAATTTTACTAACATTCAATTAAATATATTGGAAATTATAAGATAAAAAGCAATGTACTTAAAGTAACAAGAGTCGTAAGAGGTTAAGTTATCTCCGTTTATACCAATCAGCTGTGCTAAGTTCAAATAAAAGATTTGTGAATAACTTGTGATAAATTATCTCTTTAAGTACATTTTTACCTGAGTTAGTATTCACTTAAAATAACAGTTTCAAGAATTAGTAATAATTTGTTAAAATAACGGTAAAAAGAACAGTGATATCGTGAGTAGAAAGAATGAGCGAAGTTCAAGAACCTGAAAATGACAAAGTGGAATCAAACATTGTTCTAGAACCTCAAGAAATTGAAGAAGGTGAAATCGAAAAGTTAAAGGGAGACACTGTAGGTGATACTCTCTATAGTAGCAAATGGATAATTAATATTTTACTTTCAATATCAAAGGTAAACATTAGTGTTTTAATTTCTGATTCTTTTTATTAGAATTCAATGTTGCTTGTTTTGGTAAAATATTATTTAAATGTATGTTGAAATTTACAAAATTTTATTGCATAAAATGAATATAAATAAATATGCATAGGTACATATTTTAAAGTTTATCTCAGTAATTATATTGTAGTATATATCATTTATAAATAATAACTATGACAGTTATAAACTGTTTATAATCAATATATTATTGCTAAACTGATAGTTTCTCAAAATAATAGTCCAATAATTTCATAACAATTATATATATTCTTGTTGTTTAATCTATGTAATTTATACTTTGTAAAGCAATTCAATTATAATACAAATTAATATAAATAAATTAAATATTCTAAGGTTTCTGAAGATGGCTGGAATGAAAAAGTGGAAAACGACTTATGTACATTATGGGATATGAGTACAGAGAAAGACATTGTCCACTTCCTAATGGACAATGACTTTATTAAAATTGCAGAGTTTGCTTTGAATTCCTCTGAAGAACCAAGATTTACGGTACGATTTGTTTCAAGATTATTTTATCCTTTGGATCTGTATTTTATTTATTCAATAAAAACTTCAGAAAATATTTCTTGAGTTCCATGATTTCTAGACTATAAGAACTTACAGCCCTTAATTTCTAAATTCCACAAACTCCTTCTATATATTGGATCCTTTATATCTCTTAATGATTTTGCAATCAAACCAAAATTGAAATGATGTATTAGTTATACATTTTTATAATATATCTAAATTCATATACCATAAATCTATTTGGTAATTAAATACTACATAAGTTTATATTTTAAAGATTTTATATAATGTTAAGGTTTCAAGATATTTTATTAAGTAAAGAATTCCCACTATTTTGAACTATACAAAATTCAAATATTTTTATTAAGTTTAATCTCTCTTAATCTGATTTCTCAAATTAAATTTTCATTATTATGTCTTATTTAGTCATACATGTTTATTTATTATCTATAATATTTCTATACAATTTATAGGAAATAATTTTGGGAATAATTGGGAATATGACTTGTGAACCATCAGTGCTTGATTTATTGGGAGAAAAGGAAGAACTTCTTGAAACTATTCTTCGACTACTTTCTTCTGAGGATTCTGCTACATTGGTGCAAATACTACGACTTTTACGTTCTGCACTTTGGAATATTCAAATCAATCCAGAATCAAAGTGGAGAGTTAATTTAAGAAATTCAACTTTTTTAAGAGAGGTAGTTCCTTTCATTTTAAAAAGTTCTACAAATGGTAAGCATTATAATGAATATTTTTATTCGTTAATTATTTCGAGCCTTTTGTAACTGTAATAATAACAAAAGAAAGAATACGTAAAATTTTTTCTATTTATTGTTGACTAAAATAAATTGTTACAGAGGAACTTTTGATCACAACGACAAGTTTTTTGCGTTCTTCGGCAGAAATCGATCTTTCATCTGGAAAAACATTATTAGATGAATTATTTGAATCTTCTAGTTTTCTACCAGGTAAAAAATTTGTATATATTTTCATAAAAAATTACTAATTTTGTCTCTATGAAGTAGAAAATTTATTATAAATCATTATCGTTTACAAATATGGAAATTAAAATATGCAGGAATGTTAGAATCTTTTGAAGAAGTCTTTCCTCAAGATGAAGCTCCTTATTCAACTTCAACTTTGAAATATCTTGAAGATTGGTTAGAGTTATTTTCCAATCTTCAAAAAGGACATCAAATTCATCAAGAAATTTTACAAGGAGATAATTTAATCAGAACAGTAGAGATCTTACGAAGAATTTTAACAAGTTTTATCGATCCGTGGAATCTTTACCCTTTAGATGAAACTAAAGCTTCTTGCGTTCATCGATGTGCAGAAATGATTCTCGATTTTCGATGGAAAGGATTTTTGAGAGCAGATTCTACCCTTGATATAGATGCAACAATTTTAAAAATTATAGTCAGCATTAATACAGGTGAATTATATTATTTTATATACAAGCTAGTTTATTTTTGATAGAAGTATTTATAATTACATGATTATTTCTAGTAATAAAAGAAGAAGAAGAGGATTCTGAAGAAACTATGGGAGAATTAGTAAAGTATCTCGAAGGATATTGGATTGAAGTATCAAAGATTTCTTCCACAGATGAGATTATAAAAATTTTGAAAACAAACGAAAAGGTTGTTATTGAACATACAATAAATTTATTAAAATCAAAAATTCCTGCAGAAAAAGTTAACGGTATAATGAATGGGTTATGAAACAAATAAAATGGAGTTTTATACGTAATAATAATAAAAAGAAATTGAATTAACTGATAAAACCAATTTTTTGGTATAGTCTTCGATAAAAAAAAAGAACAAAAATTGAATATTTTAATTGTTTTATAGTATGAACAATTTTTTTATTTTCATCCCAACGCGACAATCAGTAACCAACCATTGTTAAAGCGGTATAACGAACAATTGGTAGCTGATCAGCCGCGTAAGTATGTATAACTTCTGTCATATTTCACAAATTGTACTGCATTTTATGCAAATTTTGTATAGATTTTGTATATCTGTATATTCTCTTTTTATACTAAAATATTTTTTACTACTTTTAATTAGGAAACTTTATACTTCTTCAAAGGATTATAAATAAAAATTTACATTGTTCTACAATTTTATTGCAATAAAAATTTGAGTATTTCAAGTAGTACATTAACAATATACAGTTTATAGGTACAAACAGAAGATTAGATCTTCCTTTTTTATTATTTCTCCACTCTCATTTTAATTCTTTCCGTTCCAAATTATTACTTTCTTACATAAAGTCTTTATCTTATTCTGTTCTTAATGGACACATATTTTGTTATGTATAAGTTTTTTCTAGCTATACTTCTTCATGTTCTTATATCCTCATTTGGTGATATTGTCTTGTTTTCTTTTCGAACTTAAAGTTCACTTATTTATATGTTAGCTTCCTTTTTATTAATTTCCTTTATTTTTAATCCCATTCTCCCATATACATTGCTCTAGGTGCAGGGGGAATTACACCTCTGGTTGGTATGGGAAACCTTCCATATATATGATTATATGGTGACTCATTTCTACCATCTGAATCTGTAATAAAACAAGAAATTTATTTATTTCCTAATACATGCACTTAACTACAATGGGAGATTAAGTTGAAATACATTAAAATATAGTAATATTTTTGATTAAATTTTTATAGAAATATATTATAATACCAAGTCCGCTTTCGAAACTTCGTGCATGATACATAATTGGTGGTCGATTTCCAGGTAAATGGCCATAAATCTGAGAAGATTGACTACTAGCATATCCTGTGGCAGCATATGTTGGTGCTTGAGTAGGGGGTCTAGTGTATCCTCTTGTTGAGACTTTACTATTTTTTGCCATTTTCACGAAGTTAGGAACACGAGCTCTTAATCCACAATAATACGGATCATCTGTTAAAAATACAATATATGAGATTAATTTTTCATATAAAAATTCTTCTGTATATGTATTTTTGTCTGTAAACTATCTTAATAGTAGTTTTAATGTCTAAGTAATTTGTTAAAGAACCATTTACCGTATTTCTTTTTATCATCGTTTCTATTTCTCTTGTCTTCATTTGTTATAACAGGTTTTCTAGCATAATCATCTTCTATGTCATCATAATCAGGCTGAAATCAATCAAAATAATAATAGTGTTATTTTGCAAATAACTATAAGGAGTAACAACTCAATAAAAAAAATGTACAATTACTTTAGGTATGTCATGACCGTAAAGATTTTCTCTTGGCGGTAATTTCGGTGGTCTTTCTGCTCTTCTTTGTCTGCTACTTGTTGATTGGGCATAAATCTGTTCTCGAGAGTCTCGATCCTGTTGAAACGCTTCAGAAACTCCAATTGAGGATGAGACCCCTGCTATACTATATGGATCTTCATCGGGAATCGGTATCCTAGGTCGATTTTTAATATCCACCGGCCTTTGTAACGCTAAAACTAATTTATTTATATCTTATACAAAAGTACTTACGCTTATAATAAATTTAAAATATATTTTATCATTAATAAAATAGTAATATTATTTTAATACTGCACCTGGTGGTAACTTGGATTTCAACATGTCTAAACCGACAACATTTACAATAAGGACCCAAACGGGACATTGAAGAAGATCTGGTTCAGTTTTAACAAAAACAATTGCACTCAAACATTGCATTTCTAATCTTCTTCTGTCTGGATATGCTCTTCGAGTTTCTCGAGAAAGATTTGTTTGAAATTTATTCATATCAAACACCTAATAATTGATTTACAATAATTTATTATGAAATAAAAGAAATTTATTTTGTTTATAGTGTACATTATTTACTACACAATACGCAAGTGAAATGAAATAAAAAAGATCGTTGGAGGAATTGGAGTAAAGTAAATGGTAATACTTACTTTCCCCGGTTTCTCGTGTTCTAACGCTCCTTGAGAATTCCGTGCAATTTCTGCTCCAATTGCGTTGTCTTCCTGACTGGTTGGCTTTATATAAACGTTATTTTTACACAACCTTTTTATTAATATATTCCCTTGCTCATCCATTTTGATCTTTACACCTTGATTTATATGTTTCTTCGCCTCTTCTGTTTTCGGGTCCCTCATAGGATTTTCAAAACCACATAATCCTATCCTATAATTATATAATTTCCTATAATAATACAATTTCCCAACATAAAATGTAATTTATTTTTTATATAAAATATTTCATATTCCACACATAAACTATATAATTCCTTTTTATTTTCATTCAAAAAATTTATATACATTTCTTTCGCGTCTTACGATTTCGAAAAATTTACTATAAAGACTTTTCCCCCAAAACTGTCTGTTTGTCTTATCTTGTTTCCATTAAAATTAAAAATATTTTGTTTAAAGGTATATATTTAGAAACATGAATGTTCGTTTACCTGAAACCATCGAATCCATCATTGGACCCATTGATTGTGAGGACAGGTACTCTGGCATACGCTTTTGCCACCCTTCGATTCCTTTCGAAAACGATTACCTTGGCCCAAATTTCGTCGTCGATTTGGTTCCATTTGTCCAGTACTTCTTGGATATGATCCTAAAATGAAACATCAACCTGTTATTATATCATTCTTATATTATCTTTTTTCCTCAACAAGATATTGTACAAAGTGAATTAATAAATATTATCATTTTATATATTTGGAATTGTAGATGAAAAAAATTTTTCCGGCGGATGTAACTTTTAAATAGAATCAATAAATTCATCTTATATTTTTACAGATGATAGAATACTTGAAACGTATTTTTATTAGTCTACTTTGAATATATTTGACACAAATTTCACTGTTATATTTTTACCTTGTACAGTTTATCGAGATTGTACCACACATCCTCTTCATCTTGATCCTCGTATTGTGAGTCAACGAGGTTGTCTCTCGATCGAGATAGAATCTTCCGCCTCGATACCATTTTTCACCGAAAGACTCTCTCGATCTGTACAAAAAAAGTCATTTCTTACAATTTAGTATTATTCTTACCATGTTTTCTCTGATAACTGATTCATATACAATTAACAGAAACGAATGTTTTCGTTTGTAACTCAAGCAACAATTTAATGAATAATTATCGAATATGTAAATATGATTAATGATCAGTGAGATCATTGCGAAGATTTATACTTCGGATTTGTCATTTTGAATTGAAAGTTACCGTCATTACATAAGGTTATCGAGTAATCGCTTAAGTTTTAAGAGTAAACATAAACAGCCAATACTTTCACCCTGCAATATTTCTACACAATGTAACGAACATGTTAACCGCGTAATTCCGCAGTTCATTTTAAATAAATGTCATTAACGAAATTCTGTATTTATAAAACCGATTAAGCGACTATCTTTCATCCAAGATATAACAAAAAAGTAAAGCAATAATAGTTGATTGTTTTCATTACTTAATTTACATCCTTTCAGTATCCAAACATAATATAAATATAATTTTAAACATAGGTAAATTAAAATATAATTATATGAAATTCACTATTTTTTTATCATTCATTCACCGAATTAAGCAGTTTCGCGTGTATGAAAATTGTAATTCTCCGCTATATTATACGTTTAAACTCAATTTACGTTTTGTATTATAGCTAATTCACACGTGTTTAATATTATAAATCTTGTTATAAGTGAATGAAGATTAAATTTCACGACGGATGAAAAAGGCTCGATTCAAAAGATTAAAAGAGCTAATATAAACTTTCTCAAATAGTTTCGTACATTGCAAAAAATGACTCATTTTTTTAGTCACACTGACTGATTAAAATTCGAAGAAACAGAATTTTCATCGCGATCGCAATCAACCGGTGACAAAAGAGGCGTGTCTTACGCCTTCTTGGAAAGATGGGAAGTGGGGAAAACAAAACGACCCACAAGTGGCTCTCGGTACTGAAAAATTTTCTAAGCGTATTGCAGCTGGTGAAGGGGGCAATTGGTACGGGTCTGGTGGTACTCAGCCTTCGCATTCTTCGGAGAGAAGTGAAAGCCAGAAGTTTCAGGGAAATTCTATGCGGAATCGAAACCCTTTTTCCATGGCGTCTTACTTCAACATGCATGAGAATTTTTCTTCTTTTGAATTTAAACCTATATTATGTTTATGTTACAATTTCTTTCCAATGTCTTTTTCTTTTTCCTTTTCCTTAATGTAAGGAATATTTGTTTAAATCGATCCTATTGTCTCTAGTGTAATTTCTTTCTTTTTTAATCGTTCTTTCTCTTTTCTCTTTATACCAATCTGATTAAAGGAATTAATTTTTTGAGTTTTTAAAATTATACTCATGTACTATTTTTACTATGCTCTTACATTGAAGAAATATTTCAAATGGTAACATTTTTCTAAAAAATAAAAATAAACATAGCGTTAGTATTTCAATTTAATAAGAGACGTAAAATTATATATATTGCAATGTTTGATCATAGCAAAATTATAGTCATATTACATTCGTTGCACTTTCACATTCTATTCCATTGATTTGAATATCGAGTCAGGGAATATTCATATTAGTCAAATGAAAGTTGGTCTTATGGCCGAGATCGTGGGTCACTGGTATTCAAATGTGTTTACGTAATATATTTAAGAATCGATTTTATGCATATTTATATTATTGAAACTTAATCGTGTTATGAATCGCGATATAATTGCAAACAATAAATTATATAATTTAGGCAATTAAGGTAATTATCCTTAATTACCTTATATTAATAATACAAAACGAAATCATTCTTAATATAATAAATATTCAATTTAAACGAAAATTTATAGTAAATGCAAGGAGAAATTTATTTAGATCTACTTATGACTATAGAATCTGAAACTTGAATATGTATTTTTATCGAAGTAGTATAAACAGATCTTTTATACTATTAAGTAAAATCATTTGACTTATATTTCTCTCTTTTCCTCTCTCCCTCTTTTGCCGAGTTATTTCAAGTTAAGTTTATCAAGATCTATTAATAATGAAAAAAGTATGCAAAGAAATTACAATTAGTAGTTCCAATATTACACATAAGACATCATAGCTATCTTTCCGTTTCACTTTCTCTTCATTTCGCTTCCTTTTTTTTTTTTTTTTTTTTTTGTATTCTCAATATCGATTATAAAAGGCAATAAGATATACAAAATCGATAAGGAACAACGCGACCAGATTTCTTGTTATCGTTCAATTTTAGAAGATGTATTTAAAAATCTCAAAATGGTTTAAAGCTTCTCACATTTTATTCTAAACACTATTTTAAATATCGCCGTGGCGATAATCAATGTTGACATCGTACATAATAAGAGAAAATCATTAATCAGTCAAAGATCAATTATACATGATTTGACTCATCGAAAGGATATTAAATATTTCCTTGTGGCGCAAAAACTATGCTTGCGATGCACATGCACTATGTTTGTAGAGCACAGGATATAGAATATGTCCAATATATTCAGTAGAAGTATTCATAAATTCGCATTGTATTTGCAAGCGAGCGAATACTTCACCACCCGTGCAACAAATGTACAACCGCAACATCTCTAGTTGGTTACTTGTCGATTTGCAAGAAGTTTTGAGCAATTTTAGAATGCATCGGCTGGTGTCGGTTTTTCCACACTGCTTAAAGGAACGAATGCCTGTGCTGTAAGGCGTGCATGAATCGAATACGAAATGCATGTAACTTAGCATGTTTCACAGAATATACACGTATACAAGCAAGCGCGCACACACACAACCTGTCGCGACATCGCCTATTAATGACATCGTTCAAGTCTCTTTCCATGAATGCCTACCATATAAAATTCATGTAAATGTGAACAATTTTTTATTGCATTTTTCTTGTTGAAAAAGAATGCTCATTCAAAACTAAACATATAGTAGGCGCTTTTATTTGAAATTTTCTTTCGAAAAAAGGAAAGTAGAGTAACCAATAAATTATTAGATATTTATATATTACTGTAAAATTAAATGATTAAAACTAAGTTTCATTTCAATTACACGGTATATTAACGTATGGAACAGCAAGACAAAATTTTAGACTTAATAATAGACAGACTTTTAGTTTTATAGCAGATAGCAATACGATTAGGAAATTGATTTAAAGAATGCTTGCAACAGAAATTGACACCAGGTGTTATTTACATTTCTCTACTAATTGTCTGGCTACATAATTAACTAAATAAAATAACTAATTATATAAATGACCAAAAAATCATAATTGTTAGTAGATTTATTAATGATAAATATACTTTTAATAAAAGATTTCACGGACATGCATATATTTGTTAACACTACGTAACATTTCCCTTTGTACCTACTATCATAAGATTATTAGAACGTTTAAATTTTTTAAATAATTATTTAAAATACGTAAAGAAATAATTGAAACAATAAACATGAATGTTAAATATATAAAAAATATATAATCTATAGATTTCTTCCGCATTCTTTCTCCTTTGTGCTTGCATATGAAACATATCAATTTTTGTAATTTTGTATTACAAAAATTAATTGTAAACGAATATTTTTACAAACCAAATATTTTTAAATTTACAAAAATACTACAAAATAAAAGAAACGTGTTAGTACTGATAAACATTATACTGATATTATCATTAGTTTAAAGACAATAAAAGTAACGAAATAATTAATGAAATATTAAAAGTATTTTAAAACAAATTTCAGAACAATCAATAATGAAGTAAACGTTATTAATAAGCAACTTAATATTCAAATGATATTTAAAAAATCTATTTCAACATAATTCATTATCGTATAATCTGTTATCTCCATTTTAAAAATATTTCTCCGATAGCAGCGAACTTTCACTTTTGTTAATGATTGAATAATCTAAAAAATTTTTCTAAATTATGTTCTTGATATACTACTTTTATTGCAAAATATAGAAATTAATAGACTGTATAATTGTAGTCTTTCATAATTATTTCTTTTTATATACTACTATTATAACTATATAACATGTAAATATATTATTTATAAAAATATTTAATTTTTATGAATTATATTAAATTCAAAATATTTGTTTACTTTAATGAATAGCACAAAAAAATTCAGTTTTGTTTTTAAAAAAATCGTTCTAACCATGTATAACTTGTTACACGTGTCAATTAATAAATCCCATATGTTATATACCTTCATATACTTCACAAGCATTTAAAAATCTCGCAGTACTTTTTACATTTAGATTATTAAAGTTTTAAATTATAAAACTTAATTTGAAATAATATGAAATAGTCAAAATTTTCAAGTGTAATTTTAATTTCTCCAGTTAGCTTTAAAAAAAAGAAAAAGAAAAAAAACGAAATACCATTTGTATGACCAATATTTAAATTATTGAAACGATAGCATATGACAATGAATATTTATATTTATAAATCAGTTATTAGAAAGCTAACCATTTCAGTTAAAGCTTTTTAAAAACATATCTTTTCATTTTGTTAATCAGCATACCTTTCTTTGGTAACAAAACTTTTCCAAATGCCTTTCAATATGGTTCGCAAACGTCAAAGGCACTCGCGTCTTCTCCATTACCCATAATTCACTTCCTGAAACGGTCGAATTTACGCGTTCAATTTGTTAATCTCACTTCGATGAAATTAAAAAAACGGATAGAAAATTTTTCAATGCAAATTATAATTTTTAAACTGACTAAGAAACTGAGAAAATATTTCGTAGTTTTTTAATATGGCGCAGCTTTGAAAGAGCTTTGCCCACTGGAGAGTAAGAACCTATCCGCCATCTTGGTGAACGCATGCGCTGTCCTCATGAGAAGTCGAGGATGAAGGCCACGCATGCGCGGTATTGGTCTCGTCGTAGACCCTTCTTCATACTACATGGGCCCGAATTGGGACAGTGGAAGTGGTGGGTTTGAGCAGTCTCATATATGAACAATATGCGAACCTTGATTCATATCATGTTATTCTGCGAGAATATACTGATAGTTTTTAATATTACTTGCCAATATGATATATTTAAAATTACATTTTAATTCAAATGAAAATAATTAAATATTTATTTACATCTATCATAAATTGTTATTGTACTGAATTTTTAAATAATCACAATGATTTCAAAGTAAAATCCAAGACATTATTAAAGAGGTCAATGTTACTCACAATTGTATTGATATTATACTAATTAAGATTTTATTTGAACTATCTAAACTTTAATTTTTATGTAAATAAGTATATCTAAACTAAATAAATAAATGGTAATAGAATTAAAAGTGAATTCTGTAGTTCAGTAAAAAACAAAGAGTTTGTACTTAAACTTTTATTTTATTAAGAAATGCATGAAAATAATTAAGCAACAAGAGCACTAGCAGTGGAGCTTTCATACTTCCAATTTGCTGGAAGAGTTCCTTTTGATTTGTAATACCGAGCAAGTCGATGAATTCTAGACTCAACAAGAATCAATCTGAACTTGCTGTCTTTATCCTTACGATTTCTTTCCAAATGTTTCCTAATAGCAACTGCCTTCTTGATCAAATAATAAAGATCTTCTGGTAGATCTGGTGCAAGACCCATACTTTTAACGATTCTAAGAATCTTATTTCCAGTGCGAAAACGCACTTGAGCCACTCCATGAGAGTCTCGAAGAATCACACCTAGAAAATTTAATTTATTCATTTATTAGTGCAATAAATACATATTATTTTCTTAAATAAATAAATGAATTTAATAAATATAATGCATATAAATTATCTTTTAAGTGTTGATGAATACCTATAATAGCATGATAATGTATCATAACTATCTCAAAAATCATCATATGTTTTTGATATTGCAAATTATTAAAATGAAACAATCACAAAACATTGATTCTTTATTAATTTGCTTGACAAAAATTAAAATATAAAATATAAAATTTATTATTATATTTTATGAATTTTAATAAATGAAATTATAACGTACTAATTGTAAAATTTATATTATATATAATAGGGTACAAATGTCCTTTTCAAAATTTTCAGTAATTTGATGATATCAAATAAAATAAAAAATTACCAATTTGAGATGGAGTATGTCCCTTTTTAGCTAATTTAAAAATTAATTCTTTACAGTCTTCTGGTGTTAGTTTCAACCATGTTGGAACACTGCGTCTATAGGGTAATGCAGACTGGGATATACCCTTTCTGTAACATTATAAATTTTTATTCTAAGAACATTTGAATTAAATTTACTAAACTTAATTATTCATGATTTATTTATTAGATACATTATCTTCATATTTATTTGCAATTTTATTGAATGCGAATTTTTTTAATTATTAGAAGCTATATAACAAATAATATATAATCATAAGGAATAATATATAATCAACAAAAGTCGTATTAATTAACTTTTGTAAAAATATTAAAATTATTGAAGCCCAAATATTGAGGTTGTGTTCAAGAAAGTAAGATTATGAAAAGTCCGTAATAGAAAAAAGCTTTTCTTAATTTCTTACTTAAAACTAACTTAAGCGTAATTAATATATATTAAAATATAATTATCTTAAAAATCTGTAATTTTTACTACTTTAAACAAGAAACACATGGTCATCAAGACGATTCTGTTTTGATAACCTTTTACATAGAAAAGCTTATAAAGTCGTATTGTAGTAATAGGAAAAGATAATAAATATGAACGAGAAAAAGTTTTGAAACGACACATAATAGTAAATTACTATAAAATTTAATTAACTTTACCCTGGTGCGTGCATACGTCCCATCTTTGCGTAGTTTTTGTCCACAAGAGACAGTAGCGCTCCTTTAATTTAGTCAGGAAATAATAGAACTACAAAATAATTTTAAATTTGCCCGGGAAAATTAATATTATAAAAATTAATATTCAGCAAAGATAGAAAAATATTATAATCATAAAATATTTAATATCAAATTAAAAATACCTAATTTTAATTAAATTATAGAATATTTAAATTAAATAATCAGTTTTAGTACTAAATATCTATGATATTTAGTATGATAGAATTAAACAAATCTCTTGCATTACATAAAAGTAATATAACTATAAGAAATAAACAATTCAATTATATACATTGAAAACAAAAGTTGTTTTCGTAAAAAGGTAATTTAAAAACAGAGAAATATGTAATTAAATGTCATGTCAATGTTAAACCTAAAAGTTAAATTTACTGCTTTTCTGTAGTGTCCGGCGGATGCTTACCAAAAACTCAAGTAAGATTCTAAACAAACTTAGGTTTTTTAAATTTTAGGAATTCTCTAGTAAAATTATGTAATAGTACAAATTTTCTTTGGAATAAATTATTATTTATTCGATTTAAATGATTATAAAATGTATAATTTTCTGAAAAATTAGTCAAGTAGTAAGAAAATAGCGCAACGTCGCGAACAGCGTCGGCAGCCAAAATGTCGGCAGTTTCTCAACTTTAAGCGTACCCTCTGTCAACATTTGTAAATCTCCATCGAAGTCAACATCGAATCAACCAATAATTAAATCATTAATGATGTATGATCGATATTAAATCCTCTTGATACAGTGAAAAGTCGGAATCTTCAGAATTTCGAAGGTAAATTAACATTTTTTAGGTTCTTCCTCGAATTGTTCGATCCTCGTCCCTTTTTCTTAGTGCAATATAATCGAAAATGTTGAAAATTTATTATTAAACTTTCTTTGGTATTCTGGAAATGCTAATTACGTAAGAACAAATATTCGTAAATCATATCAGAAAAAAAATATTTTATTTTAAGACATTTTTTTGAATGAAAAGGATTAGTGATGTGTTAATGTGGTTATATACAGTGACTCACAAAGTATCTCGACGAATTTTGGATATATACGTAAATTAAATTTTTTTAATAATCTACTGGTTACATTATTTTAATTGTAAACCATAATAGTGATTTTCAATTTATTGTAAAGTATAATATATTTTAAGTATCTAAGGAATAATATAATTTTGTGCATTAAATGTGACTTAATTGTAGCATTAATTTTTGGTTTATTTAAGTTTAAATAAAATTAATTCTATTTTATTTTTATTCGTTTAAATTTCGTTACTATATTTACGTTCATTAAGTTTTATTTAGTTTATATTTAACAAATTGTTATTTAATTACTTTAATAATTATTTTTTTAAAGTATAACAAATTTTAATAAATGTATGTAGATGATTTATTTTCATTGTTAGTTTTAAATTTTTCTTTAATTATCCAGTTAATATTAAATATTTTTAAATTTATAATTTGTAACAAATTTCATATTAGGTTAAACTCACACTGGTCTATTCTTAATCTTCATTAACTTTTTTTCCTATTAGATTTATATCTAATGAATGTCTTTATAGACATAACATGATTATAACTTTCGTAAATAAATACAATTTTTCATAAATTTATTAATAATACTACAAAAAAATATATAGATTATACTTTATGCATTTGTTTTTAAATTTATAATATAAATTTTTAATTTTATCATATTAATATCAAATATTAAAATCTATATCATAGAAAATATGAAATAATACAATAATAAAAGTCTAGAACAATTAAAGGAAAGTTTATAATAATGTATTAAATTAATAAAATACATTATAGGAATTAAATTTTAGGTATTATGAATTAGAAGTAAATCAAAATCATGACAAATATTTCAAAATATTATGTAATGTTATTAATATCTTTTAATATTTCTAATTATGTTTAGGACATGTGACAAGGCGGGTATGGTTTTACAAAGAAGTTAAAATGTCTAGTGACAGCAATCAAACTCCTCAATTTGGCAAGCGAAAAAAACTTGTCAAACCTGATAGTGAAGATAGTGATGAATCTATAGTGCAATCTCGTAGAAGGAAAAAGACCTTTGTATGTAACATATATATTTAATTAAACTATAAATTAACAATTTTAAATTTAATTGAATTTTTCTTTTAATATTATATGTATAGAAATTTATTAGTGAAGGTGAAACTAGTGATGAAGATAGTGATGTTCAAAGACCTAATGTTCGAACACAAAATCATGTAAGTTTTCTTTAAACACCTAATGTAAAATAAAATATAGTCATTACTTGTTTCTCTTCCTAAAATTTTATGAAGTGAAATATATTCTTGCAATAAATATTATATATTGCATATATACAATATTTAGCTATAAAAAGTATACTTGATTTTTTCAGAGGGTTATTGTCGAAGATGAGTCAAATTATGAAAGCAACAGTTCAAATATTAGTAAATACAGACAGTCTGGTTAGTTGAAAGATATTTAATAATTAAAAATGTATATTATTAATATATATTTAATTTTTCTATGGTGGTACAGTTAAAAGCTATTAATATTAACATCCATTAAATTTATTTTTTAGGAGAGAGTAGTGAAACTTCAGAATGGCAATCAGATTGGAGCAGTTCATCAGAATTAGAAAAGAAATCTCCTGTCAGGCGAAAAGTTCTTGGCAAACCGAAAGCCAAAAAACCTCCCAAAATTGTATCAGATACAGATACAGATAACAATGACGATCAAGTAGAGAAGTGTCCAATTTGTCTACTTCCTTTTAGAAGGCAACAATTAGGCACTCCTTCGTCTTGCGAACATTGTTTTTGTTTAGAATGCTTACTTGAGTGGAGTAAAAACATAAATACTTGTCCAGTGGATCGACAAACTTTTACAATAATTCATGTCAGAGATAATTTTGGTGGTCAGGTATGTTATGTAAAATAAATTTATATAATAATTATTATTTATAAAAATATTTCTTTTTTATAGATTACAAAATGCGTTCCAGTAGAAGTTGCATCTAGTGGGGAAGAGAATTTAGATGATCTTACATTTTGTGAAGTATGCCATCAAAGTAATAGAGAAGATCGTATGCTTCTTTGTGATGGTTGTGATTGTGGTTACCATTTGGAATGTTTGACTCCTCCACTAAATGAAGTACCCATAGAAGAATGGTTTTGTCCAGAATGTTTTCAGAATAGCCAAACCAATGCAGACGCTGTAAGCTGTTTAACTATATGTACTAATAATAATTATACTTTGTTATTGAAAAACTGAATGAAATGTTGAATCATTTACTTAGGTAAAAATTGATATGGATGAAATCATAGATCTAATGGGAGAGGCTCGTAGACTTGGTGTTTCTTATGGAAGAATTCGTAGCAGTATACCGCAAGATTCTCATCCACGGATTATACCTCGCACTAGACATACAGAACGTGTTAGAGCTACTATTCGCAGGTACCAAAATAAGAAATATGTATAATTTGAATTTTATTTAGATTGAAACAAAATTTGATAAAAAAGATAAGATATATACGTATTTTTTGAAGTTAATAAATACGTAATTTGTTTTTATAGAAGAAATAGGTTAGATGATAATATACAAGTAACTCGTCAACTAACATTTAATCCAAATCAACCTTCTACTTCATCTGGTTTGGAATCTTTTGGTGATAAGAGTCAAAGTCGATCTCCAAGTAATGCCTCTAGCTCTTTGGGTTCTGGAGATCATAATTGTTCAAACAAACATTCTAGAAAATCACGAAAATATAGAAGTAGTTCCAGTGACTCTAGTGCTGAAAGTATTTCCAGAAAATCTAGAAGAAGAAGTAACAATAAAAATAATACTGAAAATTCAGATAATAATAAATCGAGAAGAAAAAGTAATAATAGTACACAGTCTGGAGGTAATTCACGAAAAAGTGAAACTAGAAATAATTCAAGAAAATCCGGGAGATCTAAAAATGTTTCTAGTAGAGGGACTCTATTGAAAGAAGTTAGAATTACAGAATGTAATGCAGATGGAGAGGAAGAAGAGATTATAACATATGTAAAAGTGGCTTCAATTGGATCAAGAAGAAAAAGAAAGACAACAAAAAGAAGAAAGGTACTTTAATTATGATTTCTGAAAAGTTTTTTTATATATATATTATATATACATATAATACATAATAGTTCCTTTGTATAAAACATTTAATAGTATCTATTCTGTAAAATAAAATATTGAAAAAAAGGATATTTTCTTTTTTATAGAGAAGAAATCATAGACGTCGAGCTAGAACTGTATCCAGTGTTTTAGCTAATACCAAAAAAAGGCTAGCAGTTTCTCTGGGTATTTGTAAGCCAGTTAAAGGTGTTACCGCTTTAATACCTAGTGTTAGAAATCGAACAATTATATCAGAAAGATCTGCATTAACTATTGCCCGTTATAATGCTGGAATTTCAAGGCTTAGTCTATTTGGAAATGGCTTAAATTTAGATTATAGTCCTCCAGGGTAAATATATTGTTTGCAATTAAACATTTAATTAATAAAATTAACTTTCCTCAAATATTTTTAAGAAGTTAATTACTGGAAGTCAACAAGATTTTAAATATTTTTTATATGCAGATCAGATATGGAAGATCATCATGCAACTGTTGGACCTACTGTAACTGTTCAAAGACATTCTATAATTTCTTCGCGAAGACATCTACGTTTAAAAAGTATTGTTACTCCTCAACAACCGCAAATTGATCTTCTAAGTAGTATAATAAATGACCAAGAGATTTGGCATTCGAAAAATAATAACGTAACTTTAAAAACTAATGGACTCCTTTTAACTGAGAAACAGGAAAAATTTAATGACTTAGAAAAAGATAAGTCTGAAAAAAAAGACTTGTCCAAAACTGAAGAAACAGAATCTGTTGTAGAGGATAGAGTTTCTAGGATCGATACACCAGTAGAAGTTTCTAGAACTGATACTCCATTAGAAGTTTCAAGAATCAATCCAGAATCAATTACACAGGCTCCAATGTATAACAATCCCTGTGGAGGAGGAAACAGAGGAAATTTTAGAGGTGGTTACAGAGATAATACAAGGCATAGTCATGGTGGACAAAATTATGCAAGAGATTCTTTGGGTGGAAGTGGAAGACATAGTTATGGAGGAAGTGGTGGTAATTTTGGGAGAGATTTTGGACCACCTGCATTTTACAATCCAAACTTCGAACATTGTGGACCACCAATGTTTGGAGGTAATCCTCCATTTAGAAACCGAAATCCTCAACACTTCAGAAATGAAAGGTATTAAATGTGATTTCAAATAAAAAATTATATTTAAATTTTGTTTATAAATTCTATTTAGAAAATTTTTATTTTATTTTTATAGATTCCGTTTTATGCCTTCTGGAAGACCACAATTTAATTTTGCAGAAGGTTTTTCTGAGCATCATTCTTTTCCTGAAAGGTTCAATCATCCTAGATCCCCACAAGCTCCCCTTGAACGTCCTCAAAATAACATGCCACCAAATTTACCAGAAGATACTCCAAGAAGCGATTCTGTAGATCAACAGCAACAAGATACTGAAAACGCGTCTGTTAGACAAGAAGAGGATTGTGATATTTATTGCGATATTGAAACAAAATCTGATGGAGAACTTCAAGATCAACAGAATGGTTCAATGGCATTGTTGCCACCTCCAGAACCTCCATCAGGACTTCTAGATTTTGAAGAAAATTCTAGGAGTGATAAGGATAGTGATCAAGAATTAGTTATTGATGATAGTCAAAAAGACGACACTCCAAAGAATGATAAATATGATCCTTTCTCTGTAGATAGTGACAGTGATAGTGAAACAAAAAGAAATGAAGAACTTATAGAAGAAAGGAAAGAGGAACAGACTGTAAAAAGTGTAGTACAACCAGAAACCTCGGATACGTCTATTCGTTTATCAGCTTATGATGACGAAGAGGAAGAAGATTCTCAAGCTGATTGTCCAAATTTCTCAATTTACTCCTCTCAAACGATTGATGTAGCACGGCATACCGAACAACAATTATCTCAACAAATAGGACCACTTGAACCACCTCCACTGCCACCTTCAATTCCAGATGATGATGATGTCATTGTCGGTGATGTTCAAGCTTGCGATCTAGCCGATATTCCAGAACCATCAGATCCATATGTTGAAGCATTACGAAAAGAAAGGCAAACTTTAAGTAAAATTCCACCAAAGAAGATTTCTCACGATAGCAGAGGAAAGATTACATTCAAAATTGGTACTAAACTGAAGATAAATAACAGATTGTTAGGATTACAAGAGGAGGAAAAAGAAAATAGTGACGAGAAGAAAAAAGAAGTTGAGGTAAGTAATAGTTGTAACTGCATTACATTGGAATGTGATGCAATACTATTTTTATAAATATTATCTTTGTATCTTTATAGTCTGCAAAAGAAGAAGAAACCTCTGTCGATCGTGAGGAAGAACGAAAGAGGATTGCTAAGAGTAAATATGAAGAAGAGATTCAATTGAAGGAAGACAAGCAGGAAAATTCAGAAGAAATTTTAACACCTGCCATTCCTTTGGATTTGAAGGAAAAGAATGCAGATGAAGAAGAAAAGGGAAAGGAATGGATAGAGTCATCTAAAGACGACGCAATAGAGAAAGATTCAAATATAGTTGTTTCTATAGAAAAAACGGAATTTTCTCCTAAAAAATTAGAAAATGAAATAACTAACGAGTGTTTGTCGGAAGAAGGGAGTGAAACCTTTGTTTCATTTCATAAGATATCAAAAATAGATGTTGATGATGAAAATTCAAAAGATGGTCAAAAAATTAAAGAAATACACGATGATGTAAAAGTCAAAGATCTTGATGATAATGTAAGTGAAAAAGATGATAAAGGGCAACGACATGTTAGTAAGGAAGAAGAAGACGATGATGATGATGATGAAGAAGAAGAAGAAGAAGAGGAGGAGGAGGAAGAGGAAGAGGAGGAAGAAAGATTCCCCATAGAAAAAGAGAAATCGAATAGAAAAAGTACAATTGAAGAAGATACAGATAAGAACACATGGGAATCTGATGGAGCTTACACGCCTTGTAAAGATGAACTTCCATTGAAAGAATCAAAATCTTCTTCTGAACAGTTACCGCCCATTGAAAGTGGATTAGAACCAATTACACCAACAAAAGATAAACCTGACGATTTAGATAGCTGCAGAACGCCAGTGGATTACAATGTTTTGGGTACAGAAGCTATTTCAGAAACAGATGAAGCAATGAATTTCGAAGATGAGTTAACCTTATTGAGTTTACGAAAAGAGAAAGAAATGGAAGATGGAGAAATTGTTGAAGAAAAAACTGTGAAAGAACCTGATAAAGTTGAAAAAGAGAAAGAAGATGAAAAGAAACGAAAGAAAAAAGAAAAGAAAGAAAAAACCAAAGAGACAGAAAAGAATAAAGAAAATATTGCTTCAGAAAATCAAGTAGCATGGAAGAAACTTTCAAAAAGTACAAAAGAAAGATCTTATAGAGATAAAGAAAAGAGATCAAAATCAAAAGAAAGAGAAAAATTGAAGAAAAAGAAAGAAGTAGTAAAAAAGAAGGAAAAAAGAAAAGAATTGCCTAGATATGATGTTAGAAAAATAGTTGCAGAAAGACCATCAAGGCCTAGAAAAGATGAGTATGGAAGGGATATTAGAGAAAAATCGAGGCAAAGAAGTAGATCTAGAAGCTGTAGTTCGTCTAAGCGTTCTAGATCATATTCTAAGGTCCGTTCCAGAAGCAGATCCAGAACTAGATTACAAAGATCATGGTCCAGAGATCGTAGATCTTATTCTAAATCTCTTTCTAGACGAAGATCTCTTTCTCGCGGAAGACGTAAATCTCCGAAAAGAAGATCAACTTCCAGGAGGAGATCTTCTTCAAGGAAACGATCACTTTCTAGAAGAAGATCACGATCTGTTTCCCGAAAACGACGATCATTATCAAGAAGAAGATCCAGAAGATCAATTTCGAGATCAAGAAGATCTCTGTCGAGATCTAGACAAAAAAGGTCTATATCAAGATCTAGAAGATCTTTATCCAGATCTCGCGATAGGCGTAAAGACAAGAAAAAGTACAAATCTCGAAGTCGATCGAGGAACAGAAAGAAATCTCGATCAAAGTCACCTAGGAAGTCTTCAAAATCTAGGGAAAGGAAACATTCGAAAAGAAAAGCACAAAGTAGATCAAGATCGAAAGGAAGATCTTGTTCTAGAAATTGGGAACAAGTTGATAAAATTGTAGAACAAGAATTTTCCCGAGAAAGAGAGGAAAGAGAATCTTGGAGTGCACAGTGGACGCCATCTTGGTCAAGATCTAGATCAAAAACACCGCAACATGTACAACAAGAACCAATTGCTTCCAGAGAATGGTCTCCAATGTTAGATAACGTTTCTGTTCCACCAAAAAATTTAACTGTAATTTTAACAAATAAAGAAGCTATTAAAAAGAAAAAGAAAGAACGTAGAAAGGAAAGCAAAAAAGCAAAAGATGAAAAAAAGAGAAAAGGAAAAAGAAATAGGACTCCACCACCGTCGAAAGAAGTTTTTGCTAGTGGAGATAATATTTTAGTTAGTGTATGTTTCAACAAAGATAATGAAAATGATCAAACAGGAGTTCCCGAACTTCCAGAGACTATTCCTTTAATTCCTCCTCTAAAACGTCGTCGTAGAGAATCACTACAAACTGATCCGCCAAAGCGCTCGAAAAAAGAAAAGTCAAAAGACAAACGTTCTAAATCTCCAAAGCCTAAAAAGGATAAAAAGAAAAAATCAAAAGCAGCTGAAATAGCGGCTACGAAGAAACCAGTCGCAGTAATTGATTTAGATCAATCTCCATTCCGAGAACAAACACCATCTCCTAGGGATGTAATAGTTCTTAGTGACGATGATGATAAACAGATTCAACAGATTACGCCAGATCAATGCCAACCATCACAAAATTCTCCACCGCGAGAACAATTTATTTCTCAGGGTCCAAAAACGCCTCCAGAGCCACAAATAAAATTTTCAATAAATAAACAGAGCAGTAACCTACGCCCATCGATGTTAAATCCTCTTTTGGATGAAGAAGAGGAGGAGGAAATGGACGAAAGAGTCGAAGAAGAGTTAGAAATGAGAGCACAAGAGGAATTAGAATTAAGATTAAAAATTGGACCAAATACCCCTCCAGAACCTCCAACATCTCCACCAACTAGTCCAGATGCGTATGATCCATTTGATCCAACTAAGTCCAGATCGCCAACACCTGATGCTAGCCAAGAGGCCAATTCTAGCGACGAAAGAAGGAGATCTCCAAGAAAACACGATTCTGTGGATGGTAATATTCTTGAAGAGGAAAATCTGCAAAGCCAGGAAAGACAAAGCCAAGAAAAACAACTAGAGAAACCTAAGATCATTTCCATGGTTACTATCAAGAGAGCTTCTCCGCAAAGGGATGACGTTAATGATAACGAAAGCAATAAGGACACTGCAGTTTCGACAGGAAATTTAGAGGTACAGCAGAATCAACAAAATGTGCAAAACCAAAATAATCCTTTCGCGGTGATGAATCCTGTATTAGCTACAGTAGCTGCAGCAGTACAGAGAAGTGGAGTATTTAATGCGACAAATTCAAATAGTAGTCAACGTAACTTGTTACAGTCCAATCGAATTTCACCAAGTAATCAACAAAAGCAACGTTCTGGCGATCGTTCGCAGGCACCTCCAGTTTTTACGAATTCAGGAAAGTCCTCGAGGAGCTCGAAGTCCGGGCAGACCAAAACCAATGGACAAAATGGAAATGATGCTGGTACGGAAACAACGGACAATGTGGATATGTCTTCCCCTTATTCACCTGGATCGACGCTTAGCGACGGAATGTTCGATCCACCAAGTCCTACAAATTATAATTCACCTGGTGCTGGGGCAGGAAGTGGTGCAGGACCCGTTGGATCTCAAACTACGAAAAATAGTAATTCGAAAACGGTAAAAACAACCGAGAAAAAAGATGCCTTTGATGCTCTTTTTGGTACTTTACCGATTACCAAAACGACCAATAAATCAAATAGAAACAAAAAACCTGATAAAGATAAAAAGAAAAAGTCCACGAATCCGAAAGTCGGTGTTAGAATGGACGAAAATCAACTTCAAATATTAGATGATCTTCCAAGTTCAGCAGTTGAAATGCAAGTCAAGGATAAGGTTTGGGTTTCATATAAATTTCTTTTATCTTATTTTTAAATAAAGATATGAACATATATTTTATTGATATTCTAACATATAAATATATAAAAATTGAAAGATAATTTACGATGCTGTATTAGAAAATAAACATTACTGAAGTATTACATAATTAATTATTATCATTAGTTTCGAACTTAAAAGATACAAATTAACCGTTTTATCATATATATTTTCTAATAGTATTATATTTAATTATTTTGTAGTTCCTAAAGAAATTAAATCGTCAAGAACGCGTGGTTGAAGAAGTAAAATTAGTTCTAAAACCACATTACACGAAAAAACATGTAACAAAAGAAGAGTATAAGGATATTATGCGAAAAGCAGTACCTAAGGTATATACTTTCTTTTTCATGAAGATAAAAGCTACAAATATTTAAAACATGCCTACAACAGGAAAAGATAAATAGAAAAAGTAACAAAATAGTATCCATATAAAGTTCTTCATAAATTTTTAAATTGCGTATAAATCAGCCTGTTAATAATATTGCAATATTTTCTCAGCTTTCATTTCATTGTTTTGATAGATATGTCATAATAAGACAGGAGAAATTAACCCGAAGAAAATTGCCCATTTAATAGAAGCTTACGTCAGAAAATGCAGAAGTAGCAAAAAGAAAACAACTGAGAGTTCCTCCGCGAAGGCCTCTAAACCAGCGTAAGTAAATATGATCGAATTGTTTTAGAAAACTATATTTTAAGCATAAACAGTATTTTATTATTCTATGTTTTAATATATATTATAAATTATTTTATTATCGTTCCTTTTTTCTTCATACGAATAAGTTTCTATTCATCTAAGTTAAAGATCAAATATTTATACTTTATTTAAATAAAATAGAGTTAAATAGAAATATTTTATTTATTTTGTGTTTTTATTTTCACATTGATTTATTTCATTTTCGTTATATCATTTAGTAACAAAAATTATCTACAATTTAAACAGATTTATATTCATTTGTTATAGAAAAATTTTGTGGAGTTGATCACGAGTCAGCTAGATATCTGTTCAATTCCCTTCAATTTTGTAGTTCGGATGATCGTCGTGCTCGATGAGCGGTGAGTGAGCTTTGAGACAGCTAGTCTCCTCTTCGATGATGCGATGTATGTTGTATTCTCTGTAAATACGTAATTAATTCATTGATTGATCGATTGATTGCTTGCTTGATTGATTGATTGATTGATCGATTATCTTTTAAGAATACCATTTATTATTTATATAAACAATACCCTTCGTTTCATCAAGGAGTCCAATTGTCTCTACGGAAGATCCATTATTCACATAATATTTAATTCAATCTTTGTTTAAGTTAAAAAATTCAGCTCTCCCTATTATCTAACTATAAAATTTATTATAATTTACATTTATTCAAATACCTAATTCAGAACTATTTGTTTCCTGTACATATATTTAAATTTCAAAATTTATAAACTAATCTACAAAAAAATAAATAAATAAAATGCAAACAAAGTGAATTTTTATTCACATTTCATTATGTGTTATATTACATCTGTTTTGAATGAATACAATTGCAATTGACAATCTAAATCATCAAGTATTTCTTTTTTCCTACTTGGTATCATAAATTTCATAAATCCATTGTTATTTACATCTGTTTTTAAAAAACTTAAAACATGGTAAAAAAGAATATTCAAGTTTCTACTGAAACTCATAGTATATTGTTGAAATCAACAAATATCAAAACTTGTACAGCTAAAATTTTACAAAAGAAAAGAAAAGTATACAAATTTTATATGAATATTTATGCTATTATGAAAAAATATTAATAGTTATATTATGTTTTTTTAGTATTAAAATACTTATTTACATAGACAAATATCTGTTTATACTGCAAACAACATTTTGATAATTATTTATTCAAATAATTAAACATTAGTCTTTATTATTTAGTGAAAATTATACATCAATATTTGTGATACTTATATTGATTAACATATAAAATAAATATGTCACAAATTGACACTTTTGGCTTTTCCGCAGAGACTGTCATTTTCACATTTCTTAATACACATGTAAAAATGCTTAAATGCCACGTTTCAAACGTACATATTGTAATTTCACTCTTAATATAGAGTTGGACATTATTCGAATAAATTATTATCATTACTATCATTACTATTAGTACCATTGTGTCTATTATTGTATTATTATTAGTAATATTGTATGTATTATTAATATGTAAGTAATTGCTTAAGTAAACTTTAATTAAAATTATTTTCTATTTATTTTTAAGTTTATTTAGATGGATGAAATTTATTCGAATGAACATGCAGTCTAACAATTTACTTTTTTAAAAAATATATTTCAAATAATTATATTAAAACTAACATAGAATTAAAATAAAATTAATTTGATGTTAATAAATTTCAATATAAGTAAATTCATCAAAATTGGAATGAAAAATTAAATAGGTACATAAAAATTAATTTCATTATTAAGTAACTCGCTGTTAAAAAATTTAGTTATAAAACATACTAATTATACATAAATAACAAATTTTGTATAATGAATAATACAAAATTATTACATTTTTATGTCGATCAGAACATTGAAAAAATGCTATTCAAATAAAGGCTGCATTAATTTGCAAGATTAAGACACAGTAATCAAAGTAAAAATGAAGAAATATCTGAATAGCATCTCATTTTATTATTTTATTCATTAATTATTATTTGAATAAAAATTGTCCAACTCTAACATTGTATAGCCATAAAAAATGTATGAGAATGAAAGAGATAGAGTGAATGAATACTAGCCTTAAGAGATAGAAAATCCTGTCTCCTGAAATTGTGAAATAAGAATTTCAAAATATACTGCTCAACATATATCAAATCTGATTGGTCAATATTTAGCCAATCTTGTTCAAGCATATTTCTTCGAAAGTGATCGGATAATGTTCGATTCTTTTCAACTCTAAATAATAAAAAAAACAAATAATATTAAAAATATTTATTTTTTTTATATTTAAAGTAATTACAAGAACGTTATCCAGATCTTATAGTACTTATACCTTTAAAATTTTTTTTAAATTCTTCAACAGAAAATAGATTGAAAACTAATGCAGTTTTTAAAATTTATATTAAAATATTATTAAAAAAAATGTGATCAAAAATTAATAACAATACTAACGAAATCTTCATAACCAAAATTAATTAATCTGTGATTATCATTTGGAGCATTACCTACTACCATTCGCTCAGTCATTTGAAACATTTAACTCATATCCTGCTTTAAGTCAAACTTATAATAAGAACATATTGTTTAAATCAAATCAATCCATCATTTTTATTTTTTGAAACATTTATCATTTTGTAAAACAAGATCTTACTATTCAATTTTTGTCTATTTTAATTATTTTATACATAATCATTCGTTTAAATAAACCTCTTAATCATACTGTATTTAGATTATTTGGTCTATTGCTTAAAAATATAGTTTAGATTAATATCATATTAGTGCCATATATATTTGTATATGAAACTGAGTCTATCTGTAAATATATTATAAGATTGAAATAAGCAGGAAGTGTACTTAATTCATTCAATAATTAATTATTAATAAATGTATAAAGAGCCTTTTTATCTATACCTAAAAAAATTCTGCATTACTAAAATTAAATTATGTTCATATTAAAGCTAAATTTTGATTTTCCAAACCCACTTATTTAGAATAATAGCTAAAGGTGTTGTTACCTTAAATATTTCAAAAAGACATAATAATTACACAAAAGCTCCAGAAAATACTCACAGATAGTAATAATAAGATCATAAACTCGTTACATTGTACATAATAATAAACGAATAGTAAAATACTAAAACCAAAAAAATAAAAATTAGTGTTTATCAAAAATGTATATCAAATGTTAAAGAATCGAACAAAATATCCCTAAATCATTAAACTTTTATACTTTTTATCCTTTTAATTTGAGAATTAGATACAATATGAAAAATTGAATTTTCTTAATAATTGACGATATTTGAAACTTGTATGATCATGAATACAATTTGTGAAATTAGGTACGAATAGTAACGAGTATGTCTGCGTATGTGTGTGGAACCTTTTGTACTAAATAATGATGTATATACAATGAAGGGAGAAATAAAGAATTTAATATTATCGAAAAAGTTGAAGCTATTATATTAAACTTTGTTAATCATTTTTGTTTCAAATAATCTCTTCGCCATATTTTTTAATTACTCCATAATGAAAGACATACATAAAAATTAGTATATTTTTATATTTTAAAATATAGATATAGAATATGATATATGTATGTATTATTTATGATTTTTTATTTTTAATGTTTGGATACATACTACAAAAATATTAAAAATTTTAAAAAAGTACTTTAAAAAATTTCAAAAATAATTTGAACTTCAATAATATAATAGATATAATAATATAGTAAAATAATAAGACAAAATAAAAAAGATATGAAATAATAAAATATAAATAAAACAATGAAAAAATGAAGTAATGATAATAACGTCGTCTAAACATAACCTATTAATTTCTACATGATCACAATCTTATACTCAGTGTATCAGTAATTTATATTGTATTAGTTTATAATAGAAAAAAAAAAACATTTTTATTACACATAATTTTGTCATATACTGATTTCGCATTTCGTATTTCTAAAAAAAAAATTGTTAAATTTATCAGGATTGTCAGAAAAGTAACAATATTATTAATGTTAATAATTATTTTGTTAGAAAATAATAGTCTTAGAAATAATTGTAAAGTCTTAAATAATGTTAAAAATTCTTTCGCGTTCAAATAATTGTTTCTTTTGTCGCCTACCACAAGTAAGTAATGTAATAATACATTAAAATATTTTTTTATTAAAGATTTAAGGTTAAGTTGTTAAAAAGCTTAATGTTTAGTTTGGATATTTTAATTCATTAAGATAAAAGTATTTGTTATTTACGTTAATTGTAACATAAAATGATACTTAACAAACATTTATTTCATATAAATAACATTTACAATTTTGACAAGGGATATGCAACTTGGCAAATAGTCAATATGAAGGAGGAACTGATGCCACTAAGCAGATCTAATCCAGTAATTAAAAAACTGGATGATCCAATATATCATTCAATACTTACACCAGAACTTAATATCTTAACACAAATATTTAAGATGTATAATTATGATTTAAAAATTGCTGGTGGTGCTGTAAGAGACATTTTAATGAATATAAAACCAAAAGATTTAGATTTTGCTACAGATGCTACACCAGAGGAAATGAAAATCATGTTTGAAAAAGAAAATATTAGAATGATTAATAATAAAGGAGAAAATCATGGTATATAAAACATACGTTAATATTTTTTATTAATATAAAACATTCTAAACATTTTAATAAAAATAAAATTCTTTGATTGAAACTATTTTAGGTACAATTACTGCAAGAATAAATGATAAAGAAAATTTTGAAGTAACTACACTTAGAATTGACACACATACCGATGGTAGGCATGCAAAGGTTAAATTTACAACAGATTGGAAATTAGATGCTCTTCGTAGAGATCTTACAATTAATTCCATGTTTCTTGACCTTGATGGTAGAGTATATGATTATTTCTTTGGTTATGATGATTTACAAAAAAAAAGAATTGTTTTTGTTGGAAATCCAACAAATAGAATAAAGGAAGATTATCTGCGAATCTTAAGGTATTTCTTGTTTAATTTTATACATAATTAATAATATATATATCTTTTCATATTATTAGATAAAGTAATATTAATATTAAATTATTGTATTTAATTAATTATAATTTCCATATTATACAGGTATTTTAGATTTTATGGAAAAATTGCAGCTCAACCAGCTGCTCATGAGGAAACAATTATAATGGCAATAAAAGAAAATGTACATGGACTCCGAAGAATATCTGGTGAAAGAATTTGGAGTGAATGGTCAAAAATCCTGTCTGGAAATTATGCTAAAGAATTAACTTTACAAATGTTGAAATGTGACATTGCAAGGTAATAATAAATTCAAAATTATAATAAAAAAAAATTAAATATTTAATGATATGTAATTTCAGACATGTTGGACTCCCAGAAAATCCAAATATAAAAAACTTCGAAGATGTTTCTGATATTGCTAAGAGAAACAATATTTCTTTGCAACCAATTACTTTTCTTGCTGTAATGCTAAAGGATGAGGATGAAGTATTCCAGCTTCATAACAGATTAAAACTATCTGCATTTGAAAGGGATTTAGCATTATTTTTAGTTACAAACTGGCAAAATAATCCTTCAGTAGATATCTTGAAATTTTATAAAAGATTTCTGATTCATAAGAAAGGAAACATTACAAAAAGTTATATTTGTGAATTACTAAAATGTAAACAACATTTTAGTTTTGCTAAAGATATAGAACAGTTTGAAATACCAAGGTACAGTAAAATAATAAAATATAAATGTTTTGTAATTATTTTACTAACTCTAAAAACAGTAATTAATATAAATTGATAATGTACTTCATTTTGGAGACAATATTATTGGACAATAAGTTTTATATTGTACATAATACATAATGACAAAACATAATAACATTCAACTACAATTTTTTTTTTTTAATTCTATATTTATATTAACTATTTCCTCATTAAGTTCAAATATTACTAAATACTATTGGATAGTTCAAGACTGTCTTTATTAAATACTGATTAATATTATTACTATTATTCTGGTGTATCACAAAATATGTTTTTGAGTATTTTAATGTATTTTTAGATTTCCAGTAAATGGGTTTATGCTACAACAATATTCGTTAAAAGGAAAAATGATGGGTATTGTTATTAAAAAATTAAAAGATATTTGGTTCGACAAAGATTTTAAAACGAATGTAGAAGAATTACTACAAGAGGTTCCACAAATTATTAATGAATTAAAAAATGAAAACTCAAACTTATAAGAATGTCATATAAATTTGCAAAGGGAATAAGAAAAGGAAAAATAATTATACATCTTTAACAATGTATAATCTTCTAAAAAACATTATGTACTAAAGTTTTTAACAGTATAAGACACATTTATTTTTAAGAGCATCACATATTTATAGTAGATTGTAATCTCTTAAAATCTATTTACACAATAAACTCACGTGAAAAATTTGCAGACTCTTCAAAATATAATCCAAGACTTGCTTGATTATTGAGCTTTTTATTATACACTAAAACCTTAATTATTCAATTGTATTTTTCTTAAACTGCTTTTAAATTAAATTCTAGAATTATTTGAACATCCCTTCGTTTTAATTTGAAGTTTAAAGCTTCTTTATTTTAATTAATAAAGATGTTTATTAAAATATTCATGTAACAATATTTTTATAATTTATGAAATTTGTAGCAAATTATTTTCTAAACAAATCTAATAAACTTAGAATTTTTCATTGAATTGAGGTTTCAATGCATTTTTTACTTGAGAGAAATAAAACTTTTAATCAAGTTTAATCGTACCTTAGATATAATCAGATATAATTTAAAAATAATTATTGAACTTCAAGTGTCACATCTTGATTTAAAAAAAATTTAATTTTTTTAAAAGCACAAATTTGAAGATAAATTTTTATACCAATTTCACGTGAACACATTACCATTTCATAGTTCCACATATTATTTACCATTCCGCATCACCACTCATTTTCTGAAAAACATAATCTTTACCGCTAAGGTTCATTATTCCGTCTTTGAGGTAGAATTTCCATTTATTTCTACTTCTTGTTATCTAAAAATTGATTTTTGATTTACTTAAAAAATATTACTAATAGCTATATTTTAGTTTTAATAAATAAATCATCTTTACTATTTTTTTATTTTTTTAATTACTTTGTATCAAAATAAAATTGTTATATACCTTGTCATACTGACAAACGACTACGTTATCAGTATCAAAAAGATCCGCTGGATCATCATCAGTTACATCATCTTCGGAATTCAATGGCTCCTATGAAATAAAGATTATATTATTAAATAAATAATATCTTAATTTCTTAATGAAAATTTGTACTTATAGATAAATATATAAATAGAAAAAAATTAAATGTAACAAGATAATTTAAATACCTCTTCTATTGCTGCAGCTTCATCATTTTCCTCTTCTTCTTTATCATCAAGATCTTCTTCCTCATCTTCATTATCTTCTTCTTCTTCCTCTTCATCATCGTCTGACGAATCACCAAATGGGCCATCTAATTGTGCTATATTATTCTATTTATGAAATAATAAAAGCAAAAATTAATTTTTATTCGTTTATATTTTTCTTTCAAACAGACGGGATCATAGTTTTATAAATATGAATAATACAAGTAATAAATTTTAATTGTTTTTAATTAAAACTAGTTATATAATTATTTGATTTATATTTCACTTCTATTATTCATTATGGAATTATATAGCAAAATTCATGTATATATTTTATGTAAATAATGTAAAAATATTTGCATATAAAATAAAAACATAATTTTTCTTTTTATCAATTAAACAATTATTAAGTTTCACATACTATTCCTAATTACCTGATTTTGAACAGACCGTTGGGAGACATTGTTTGCATTTTGTGTAACAACTTGAAGAGGTTGACTAACTTGAAGTGGAGCCAATGTTGCTTGGCCCTAAATATGAAATTAATATGTTATTAAAATAATGTGGATGTCAGATTTGTTATTAAATCATTTCTGTTAATTACTTGATTTGGAACAGATCGCTGAGTGACATTATTTGCACTTTGTGTTACGACTTGAAGTGGCTGACTAACTTGAAGTGGAGCCAATGCTTGACCCTGGAGTGTAGAATTCACATGTTGTTGAAGCAGTGTGGAAGCTAGATTTGCTGGTAGCCCCATTGCAGCTGTAATAACTGGACCCGTCAAAATTGTATGCAGTTGATTACCTACAAGTACATACAATTTATTATTTAATTTCCAGAATATAATCTTCTTTTTCATAATATTAATATATATTTGTTATATAAATGTGATTTTGAAGTACCTTGAATCGCAGATGCAGGAACCTGAATGGTTAAAACTCTTAATTGCGCATCTGGGACACCTGTCTGTGGTGGCAATGTTATTTGAATAGGTACTTGCCGGTCCATTACTGCTGATGTTGATGTTACTAATTGTTGTACCGGTGTACCAGTATGCTGTATACCAGTTGTTGTCGAGTGGCATTGTGTCTGAGTTTGTGATTGTTGAGGAGACTGTTGTGGTTGTTGCTGCTGTTGTGATGCTTGTTGAGGAGCAGAATTTCCTCCTGTTTGTTGTATAAAATGATTTGCTATATTTACTCCTAAAAGTGTAGATTGTATTAAATATACTGAGAAAGTTCATATTTAATTTTTAATTATAATTAAAAATTTAGTTTGAAGTTTTGAATTAATAATAATGAACTCTATAACAGCAGTTTGCTATAATTATTATTTTAGTAATTTTTTTTCTCTTAAAAATCTTAAATTTAAATTGTTTTCATTAATAGTATTATTACATAAAAATATAGATATTACCTTTATTAACAGGCACAGCTTTGTGCGTATTTATTTGAGGAACCTGAGGCTCCGGAGGATCTGAATTAAGTTCAACAGCTTTGCTAGACATTAATTTGGTTTCCCATATTTGTTTGAGCTCTTGTAATACTTGTTCATCTACACCTTCATCTATAAATGATTCTCTTACACCTGATATAACATCCTCTATCACAGTATTATATAGTTTTAGCTGTAAACAACATAAATTTCATTACTAATTAACATTTATATTACTTTATTTAATACTTTTCTTTCTTTCATTTTACTTTATATCACAATTTTCTATTAAAATTTTGGAGCATTTTCATGTATTAGTTTTCATGAAAGATACTTTTTTAATAAAATACAGAACTCTGAAGTAAATCAGTCTAACTCTTTTTGCATATAATTACATATTGATAATAACTATAAAATCAAATATTTTAAAATAATATTCATAAAATTCTAGAACATTTTATAAAATAACTATACAACTACTACAATTCTAATTATTGTATCTAAAAAAAACTATATTATAGGAAAACATACAATAATCAATCATTTTATGCACTTTCGTTATATAAAAAAACAAAAACAATTAAAATATATTAAAGTCGTTCAAATCTAATATCGTCAATCCTAACCTAAAATTCTTTAAAAAAATTTGTGAAGAAAATATCTTGAAAAAGAAAATCCGAATAAAGTTGCACTAATTGAAAATTTAATTCATTATTTTCATTGATAACATTTTGAAATTCAATATTATAACCTAGAAATCTACAATTTGTAATTGTTAAAATTACAAAACATAATTTGATTTAAAATCTTAAAAGAAAATAGTCAGTAATTGGAGCAAAAGGGATCAAAGATGAGGATAATAATGATAATGGTAATAACATAAATTAAGTGATAAAAATCGTGATTGTCGTCATTGTATATGATTATAATTAATTGTGTTTTTATCAATCGTTGCTTTTGCTCATATTTGTTACTCACCACACTTGTCTGACTGAGGGCCATTGCGAGGATAATTCGTATTGTCTAATAAGAAAAACAATAGGAATAATCCAACGAATAAATCAGCCCCAGTTCAGAAGCCGATCCGTGGTAGCATCGCTCTTTTATATACTGTGGACACGTCTCCCATTCCACCTGACTTTGGTGTGAACTGAGAACAGTTATCTAAAGGAAAATCAATGTATCCAACATTAACAAATTAAATTCCTACAAGTTACTGTTAAAGTGGTATTCTTCTACACTCTATGAAAATATATACTATATTAAAATTCATAAATAGATATTCATTATTTATCAAAATATTTATAACTTATTAATTTTTTGTTTACTTAATTATATTATATTATATATAAACAACAATACTGAATAATATAAATTATTTTATTTATTATTGACAAAAATATTTTTATATAATTATGGCCAAATAATAACAATTTATTAATGAAACAGTCAGTATTAAACTAATGAAGTTTTACCATTACAGTGTTCAAGTTAATAGGTTTTTCACAATCACGTCAAGGGTATAATCTGCCATTCAGTCACATAATTTCATGGCACAATTGTTTATAAACGATTTTCAATTCTAGATTACTTTTGGAATACATCCATGCGAAATATTTACATATATTTTTATTGATATAATTATCTAGATTTGTCTGTTATAATAAATTCGAATTACTCTTCCTCTTTTGACCTCATATGGATATAATATTAAATTTCTGATTTGGGAACATACGCAATCCGGAAAAAGCTATTAAAGTACATCTTTGATATGCAGAGAATATTAGATGAATCTCCAAATTAAAAAAAATAGTACATGTCCTTAATACCTTCATAAAATATGCTATAGAAAGAAAAGCTAATAAAGAACAAAATATATCATAGATGATAATAATATAATTTTAATATTTACATTTACGATACAGTGTAAATATTTATTTAATTTTTTGACAATCATTTTGTTTTATATTATATTTATTATTGAATGACAACACTGAATAATAAAAATAAATTACTTTATTCATTATTAAAAAATATATAATAGTTGTAAATATTTATGTGTTGGTTACTCTAGCACACATAATAATAAGTCAATAGTTTGTATACATAGTATTAAACACATAAAATTGAGAAATAATTATTAATATCTGAAATAAATTGAAAATTAAATTCATGCATGTTGAAATGATATGAAACAAATTATTTATATGTAAGAAATGAAAAGAATCAGTTTAATAAGTGTATTTATTATAAGAAATCAGTGTAGTTATTTAAAATTGATATCTAGTATTTCCAAATATGCAAGTATCAATTATTTATTAAAAATATAAAAAAGAAGGTTTTATTGTATTTTTTATTAAAAAAAATGTTGACATTAAAAAAATGAAAACATTAATAGGTTTGTTTTAAAAATTCATTATAAAGCGCGGTTCTATTTATTAGAGCAAGCCTATACAAATTCACGATTCTTTATTAATAATAACAAACGACAGGATTAAATCAACTTTTTACAATCTCTCTATTATTCTTTCTTCCACCCACCCACCCCCTCTCTCCCTCTCTCGAATTATCGCTCTCCCCTCCCTCCCGCTTCACCGACCTTCTTCACGAAGCATACACACATACGCGTACACGCACGCACACATTCTTTTGTCATATACATAAGTGATGATTAAAGAATTCCGAAAATTCGCTATTTCAATAAAGATATTAAAATAATTGAAAATTTGTTTTCACATATTTCAAATGTGATTTATAGATCAATAAAAATTTTCATAATAATCTCAAACAGTAAGCAAATTTCCTATAAATAATCCAATGTTTAGTATAGAATACATGGTACATGTTCAATGAACAACAAATATCTTAAATAATAATATATACATTTAAATCGATCGATAGAATCTTGATCGAAATTCAAAATTACATTCGCAATTATCATTTTTTATCATTTATCTCCTTGATAGTGGTTGAGTAAATCGATCTCAAAATTATTTCATTGGTCAATCTCCAATTATAATATAGCTCCGTTTCAATATTGGCGAAAGGAATATATTTTAATGTCTTTTAATATTTTTTTTTTTTTTTTTCAAAACATTTAATAAATTTTTAATATCGAATTCAAATTAAGTTCTCAAACAAAATTTGAGTGATTTGTAACAAGTTATTTAATAATTTATTTGAAATCCTTAAATATTTTATTCATATAAACCTAACTTCAATGAATTCAATTAAAATTGTACTGCTCTGTGTATAAAAAATATATAAAATAAATAAATAAAATAGCTTACTACAAATCCTTCAATAGTGCCATAATGTACTTAAATGCATATTTTCTTTTCGCCAATAATAATAAACATTATTAAAAATATTAAGTTATAGTAAAATTTCTTTCAATTCCCAGTGATTGGCCAAAAATGAAACAAATTTCTATGTATAATGCATTGGAACTGTTGAAGATAAAATTTCATGATGATGAAGAAAGACTTTCAAGATCAAAATCAGACAGAAAAATATCAGAAGAATTAGGAGATCTTCTATAATGTATCATATCATCTCCAGATTCATCCCCGTTAGCTGAATCGTCTCCATCACCTGAATCATCTTCATCATCATCGTCGTCGTCATCATCATTATTCTCACGATTGTTTCGCTCAGTTTCGTCGCCATTTTCTTCCGCTGCTGCGTCTGGATTGTCCGCATCTATTTAAAAATAATTATTATGCTTTTAAATTTGTAAATAATTTTTATTATAAATAAAATAAGTAAAAATTATTCATTGTCATTTATGACTGTAAAAGTTATGTACGTTATATGTGAAAATGTAAGTGGAAATAATAATTTAATTTGTAAAGGAAAAGAAAGAAATTCATATAAATAATGATATAATTATATTATACTATAAAAAATATTTATAGTCATATTTAGAAAATATTATGAAATATTTAAATATTTTAGCATAGTAGATACAAACCATCTGCATTATTATCATCAGAACTAGTATTCGAACCATCGTCATCGCTTGCGTCAAGATCTTCTTCATCATCATCACTTGCATCAAGATCTTCTTCATCATCATCTTCTTCATCACCTTTCCTTCTACCAACATCATATAATCTAACACTGGATTCATGACTATCACCATATTCATTAAGCTTTTCGACTACTGCTATTTGTGTATCAAATTTATTACAAGCCAATCCATAAACCCCTCTTCTAACATCATAAGTAGCTGTAATCAATTAGTTATCGTAATTATTTCTATTACCGATTAGATTAATTTAAAACATTCAGTAGAAATAAAAAATATATCCATAGAATTAATTATATTCATACAGTTATTATAACATACCAATGTTACTATAGTCCAAAGCATCTAATGTTTTAAATGAAGTGATAAAGTTAGTTTCACCTATAGTTTCTTTCTCCAATGATACAGCATATATAATATTGTTAACAGGAGAAAAGATTACTTCCATTTGATCAAGAGTTGGCACTGTTTTCAACAAATGAAAAGTTCTTAAATCCCAAACTTCTGTATTTGACACTACTTCTAAACCTGTTGAAAAAATTATTAATTATAATATACATCCTGCTTAATATGTAAATTACTTATAGTATATGTTCACTAGAGAATACATGTTAGTACCATTAGGATGAAAAACTCCATTAAGTGTTTGATTTAATTTATCAAATTTATGAATTTGTTTTCCTGAATTTGCATCCCACAAAATTCCATCATGTAAAACTAATTCGTCATTCATACTAAAAGTAGCACGATTCATAGTATATCGATTGGAAATTGTAGGAGCAAAACTAGTTAATAATTGTCCAGTAGCTATATCATAAATCTAAAAAAAATGATAAATATAATTATATAAATAGCTATTTCTTATGCTTATAAGAATTTAAAAATATTATAAATTATGTAAACATTTTATCTCAGATAATTATTACATAAGAAATATACGTACTGTTGCTATATCGCCTTCAGTTCCAATAATTCTGTCTTGAAGTTTTCCAAATTCAACGTATTCTATATTTTCTAAGGATAATTTTAGATCAAAAAATGTTCCTATACTCCAAAGTACAGACATAGGACTTCTCCATGGAGTAGAAGTTAATAACAAATTTCCACGTTGATTACATTCCATATGATAAACATAAGATTCATGACAAGAATATGTTGCTTCCTCTAATCCTGTCTGTATATTATACATTTTTACATCTCCCGCATAAGTACCTATCATTAAATATTGTTGACAAGGCTGTAAAAATATTAACATTAAGTTATAATGTATACTTTATATATTAAAAATGTGTATCATTCATTTATTTTAATTATTAATTAAAGATTTACTTATGTTAATATATAAAATATCAGAGCTAAAATTAATGATTAATTGTGTAGCAATTTAATTTTATGGATATTAAATTTGTATTTTTAATATTAACAAAATAAAGATACGTTACTGAAAAGATACAATAGGTGAAGGTGCCAATATCCATAAGCCGAAAATTTTTTACGGGATAAAATCGGCTATAAATAAGTCTCCTATCCAATCTTCTAACGTCCATGCCTAATGCTCTTCTAGCCAGTCTTACTGTTACATTTGTTGGTATTGAATTTTTTGTACAGGGATCTGGACACTTATGTGGTCTGAAACCATAAAATGTCATTTTGTTGTAATATTATAATAATTAATCATAACGATAATTTACAAAAAATTCAATTTGCAACTGTAAATAAATTAATTTAATAAATACATACTCAAAGAGATTAAATTGTGGACAAGTAACCATAGGATTTTTACATAATGCATGTTGATTAGTTAAATATTCAGTTATAATAGAATCCAGTGTAATCGTAGATGGATTTGATGTAGCTACACCAGGTCCTCCATCACCTGCAAGATCTCTTGAAATCTGTTTTTGTAGTGATCGACATATTGTTGGCTGATTAATTGAGTGACAATTTATTTGATTGACTAGAGGCTGCTTATCAACTTGATTTTTCCTAAAGTTATTTAATTACATTTTTATGTTATTTGTAATTTTAAATAATATCATGTATAAAGTCAATTAATAAGTAATAAATGAAAAAAATTATCTCAAAATATAAACTTACTTTTGATTAATTTGCAATTTAATTAGTTGGTTTGTGTTATTTGGAACAATATTTTGATTGAGACAATCAGAAAGTTTCATACGTATATTACTTCCAGAAGACAATGGTAATGGACCTGAATTGGTATTTGAGAAACGACTTCGGGAAGCGACTTCTCTTTGATTACATCTGTTTGTGCTATACAAATTTACCGTTGCGCCAGGAGAAAATCCATTTCTTGTCTGAATAAAATATGTATATACTTAACTTTGAAACTTACACTTTGTTTTATATTACATCCATTCAATTTATAAAACAAAATTGATTAATTATTGTTAATATAACTTACTCCAGTAGCTGCTGGACTGCGGTAAGTAAATGGTTGATATGTATATACTGGTTTCATGATTGCAGAAGAATCTAAATTTGCTTCCTTATGCAGTGTTGATGCAGTTTCAGTCAAGCCTTTTGACATTAAATGTTGATATATTAGTTGATTTAATTGTTGTTCATTGTATTGTATTCTTGTTTGTGCAACTACATTTGCCTGTAAAGTTGAAATTGTACAGAAATAAATAAAAAAATTTCTGATTTTTATTTACAAAATAAACGAATAAATGAAAAAAAGAAAAATTATATTTAATATACTAAGCCTATTAAATTGAAAATTGTAAAGAATTTAAATAAATTAAAAATAAAGCTTACTCTATGTAAACTAGCCAAAGAAATTTCATATTCTGCTCCAGTTGGTTTTGCTTCACCAGAAACTCTTCCCATTAGCTCTAAAGCATATTTTTGAAACATGACATGTTCCTGTCTTTTTTCTTGAAGTATTGGATCCTTCATAAGTGCTTGAATTTGTCCATCAGTGAACATTGGAAGTTTGCTAATTATTTGTCTAACTTTTTCACTTCGTGCTAAACCTGCCAATGCACGACAAGCCAATGCTCTTATACTATCTGCATCTGTGATTGGAGTTTTAACCATCATCAATTGTAATAAAACCTATAAAATAAAGAAAAAAATGTTATATTAAATTATGTGCAATGATGTAACAAATAGGTATTGCAAAAAATATATTAAAATTTATTAAAATTATTAATGATTATTATTTACATAAATATGATAGTTTTATATATATAATTATAGGAAAAATATGTATAAAAATTTGTGATATACCATTATTCCATTATTAGATCTGACACTTCCCCAAATTTTTTGTATCAATTCTTCACTGTTATTGTTTGCCTTTTTCTTAGCAGAGCCTGTTATTGAATACCTTGCTACATTGCCACCAATCTGTAATAAAAAACAAATGAGTAAATGTAACTTACTTGGTATAAATTCAATCGAATGTTCGTTATTTATTTAATATAAATAATTACCCTATTTATTGGAGCACAAACACAATTGATCAGAGCTCTTAAAGCGGCTCGCTGCACATCAGGATCCACAATAATTTCACATTCTGCTGCAGCTAAGAGTAAGTTTATTGCCATTGTCATTGACATATCAGGCATGTCTACCCTTTCACAAAGTAACAGCATCACTTTTGGCACTACAGAACAAATAGCTATTACATCCAAGCAAGAGCGAACCGTTTCTGCACTCGAAGTTGTATGAACTCTGCCACTATAATTCCATTCCCTAGCAAAGGCAATAATCTGCAGAAGAAGTGTTATGCCTCCAAGACGATATAATTCTTCTACTGGTGGCCATACTGCTCTTACAGACATTAATTCTTGAAGAATTTCCACCTTTAATAAAAATGAGTCTATTAATCCAAGTAAAATTATAATTTATATAATTTATATAATTTAAAATATTAATAACTTTTACATAATTTATATTTTTCTATTATGAACTAACATAATATTATATTACTAATGTTTTGATATTATGTCAGAAATTGTAATTTTGAAAAAAATGAAACTGATAATTATTTTATACAAAATATTTTTGAATTGGTATTACCTTTGCTTGAACTTCTTCACTGCTTAATTTCACAGCTTTATAAGGTGGTAATGATGGTTGCCATGTGTCACACTCGGTTCTAACATTTTCTGCTCTTTGTAACTGTTCTGTTTTTAAATGTAAATGAGCTTCCATATATCGTTTTAAAGCTACTGCAACATGTCTAACTACTTGTCTAGAAGCACATTCTTCATCGTCATTCAATGCTGGCTCCTCTTCTATGTTTAAAATTCGTAATGTAGATATCTAAAAAGAGATAAATTAACTATTAAAAACTTATCAAATAATGCTAAAATTGAAGACTAATATAAAATAACATTTACCACATTAAAAAGTTTCCTGAGTCCATCCTGTGCATCAAATTCTTCAAGTATAACTTTAAATGGGAAAGAAAATCCAAAAAACATTGTAGCATGACACCTTCCAGAATCATGACTTCTTTCTAAAAGCCATAATGCATAGGTAACAAGATCAGATATGACATGCTTTGGCAGCAAACATACTCTTTCCATTGCATCTTCACAATATGCTAAGTAGTATAAACAAATAGAGACCCCAGTAGCTGCAACACTAGGTCTTGGAACATCTAACAATTTTTGTAAACCTCCAACATTAAGAAATTCAATAGAAAATTTTTTATGACAAAGAAGAGAAGCTAGATATTTCAAAGCTTCAAAGGCTAAACGACTATCCTTCGTTTCTCTAACATTAATATATTTGAGAATCAGGTCTAAAGCATTATGTTCAAATACATGACCTAAGAATTCTTGATATTCACCCATTGGTGTAAGATACCTATCACATAATAAAAATATACATTTGATAAATATTTGAAATGAATGAAACTTGAAATTAATATCTTTACCTTAATATTAACATTTGTCTTGTACCTAATGTTGGAGGATGCATTTGTACATTTCCGATGACATATGATTCCATCTCTGCCCATGAAGAATTAGAATTCCCTTCCAGTAATGTAGATGGTGTAGTGGAACTTTGCACTGAAGATGAAGAATTTTTTTGCAAATTACATCGTGTTGAAGAAGCATTCAGTGATCTACTATGAGTGCTTTGTGCCTTAGATGGTGTTACTTGATTATTTAAATTAGAATTTTTTGGCACAGACAGAGGTGGAGACATAATCTCTGGGTATATAATATTATTTTTTACAGGAGTTTCACATTCTGCATCACTTCTCTTTTTTTTAGTTAAGGGAGCAGAATCTTCAGATGACTGAGCACAATCTTCTTCTTCTTCAGAAAAGTAATTATTATGGTTGGAATTTTTAAGAATTTCATTTTCTTTTCGTTTTTCTCTCACCTTCAAATCAAATTTTGATATTAAATTTATGATATTTAATAATTACAAAATGATATTCTTAAATATTATCATATATATTAAACTATTCTTACTTTTCTTTTCCCAGGCACACCTTTATTTTCTCCATCTCCTCCACTATTTCTATCTTGACCAAAATGAGCAAATGGTCTATTATTAGCTGCAAATTGTCTCTCTTCCTGTGCTTCATCTTGCAATTTATGAAGCCATTGTAACATGAGAGGTACCATTTTTGCATTTTGCTCCCTAAAGCCTTTAATGAAAATAGCAAATAATTATTTCTTTAATTTTATATTAATATATTTATAGATATCAAGTTTTATTTAAAGTAAAACAACACTTTCTTTAAAGGTAAACAATACGTTATTTAAAGTTAAACAACACCTGTAGCAATTTCTTGAACTTCCATTGCAGCAGCTACAAGTCCAGTTGCATAACTTTGTAAAGGTTCCACGCTTTTCTCAGCCCAAGAAAATAAACGATGAATGAGTCCTTCCATATCTGGTTGAAATACTGCAGAAGTTTCTAACCCAGGAAGAATATCAAGCATAAGACGACAAGCTGCAATATTGAGCTTTCTAACATCACGACCCGTAATACCCGCGCGAGACCAATATGTGTCTCTTAAGTAATCATTTATAAGCTGTTGGAAAAGCAACACATTACACAATAATTTTCATATTATAGTAATTCATAATTATTATTTGCTTTTCAATATAATATTAAACCTACCTTAGTCATGAAATTATCTTTTCTAAATAAAACTTTCAGTATATGTCCAAAATTACACTCTGGATCTGTGCGTGATGGATGTCTTTCATCAAATGGATCAGGATCCATCTTTAAATAATTTTCTGTCTCTAATTCTATAATTTCTGCCAGTCTTCGTAGTGTTGGAACTGGATCATACATAGGAGATGAATGTTCTTCTTCCCATTGTCTGAGAATTTGAACTACATCTGTTACTTCCGCTAATGATTCTGCACTTGACATGTCTGCTCCTATTATCCTACAATCATAAAATTATTGAGTTTATAATAAAGATTTTAAAAGAATTTCTCTCATCTTTTAATATTATTTGTTGTATTTTCCAATTTTTTCAATTTTATAATTGCATTAATAAAATTTTATTATTTTTTTATTATAATAACACATTTTTACCTTCATATTTAATAAGACATTAACTCAAAAGGATTCTAATTAAATATTTACCGTATTTATAATAAATAAATATTTTCAATGACAATTAAAAGATATATAATTTTTCTTCCTATATATATATAAATAAGTGATAATTAAGTAACACAAGAACTCTAATATTATCTAAAACATAAATTATCAATTACTTTTATTTAAATATTTAACAATTGATGTTTTAATAAATTAAAATTAAAACAAGGTAAAATTAACAAAAAATAAATATTATTTGAAAAAAAAATAAAATATGATTTAAAGAATTATTACATATTACACAACAAAATGTGATCAACCATATTTTACATATCTTTTCAATTTAATAAACAACTTAATATTACTTTTTACTAAGTAAATGATTATTAGAATAATTTAATTTTTATATTTATTTAATGTTTACATGTTTTAATATAATTGTTCACTAAATTTGATAGGTAACAACTTAACCTTAAAATTCAGTATACAATAAACAAAGATCAAGGTTTTGGAATAAAACATATAATAAATCCATAAGATATTAATTGTTGAAATCAATAAACAAATTATAAATAAATAAAATATTGATCAAATCAATATGTTGATGTTTTTCAAAATTCAAATAAAGAAAAGCAGCATGTGTGTTATTAGGTTAGAGTCAATGCAACATTACCTTCTTAAAATTTATTTGACAGTTTATTTATTTACCAATAATCACGATGTATACCACCTTTTTTAAGTGAATTATTGTGTTAGATTGTAAGATTATGTATCTTTCCAATTAAGAATAATATTTTCTTATAGAAGTACAAAACGCAACCACCGACATACACGCTAAAGACGGCCTAGTTAATTCCACTTTTGAAATAAGCTAAAATATTACAATAAAGTGGAATTTTTTAAATGTAAATGTTGGTTTTGCAAACTAGTATTTTTCATACATTTCTTACATAATATTATTCAAGAAAATGTTAAAAATAAATATAATTCACTTTTTAAATTAAAAAACTTAATCAAATTTAAAACTTAAAAACAAACATTTTTTTAAATTAATTTCATATTAATCAATATATGATATTATTAATCTTTATTAATTAAATGTAGTTATATTTTTATAATACTATGACAATTTAATTAAAAAAAAAAGGGTTTAGATATTAATGCAACCATTATCTGTAATAGTATATACTCAACCTATATATTTATATTATATTAAAATCACTAATTTTATTATAATTGAATATTTGTCTGTATCAATATTTTAAAACAAAATTAGTAAATTTTTATTTATTTTAGGAATACATCCTGTATATATTTCAACCTAATATATCAACTTTACGAACACATTACCTGTGTGTCATATGATCGTCACTAACTGGAGACACTTTCATCAGTAGGCGTTGACTCGTTGAAAAATTCGATTAAGAATTTGAACACTCAAAAAGTAATTACGGAAATTGTTACTATTAAGACATTGGCAAATCTTTAAACTTCAAAATGGCATTAAGCGATGCAGATGTACAAAAGCAGGTATAAAATCATTTGAATTGAGATATTCACAAATTTCCATTGAACATTGATTTTAAGTTATTTTTGCATCTTCTATATATTATCACTTGGATGAAATATTTGATTTTAATTCTTGTTCTTATCAAACTTTTATTTTTATGTTTTCTCTTTTTTACAATGAACGTAATTACGAGTCAATTTAAATAAACAATTTAGTCAAATTAAACTTTAATATAAATTTATATTTATAAATTCATATAAAGTTATTTTAATTATTTTTGTTTAAATGACCATAATTTAAGTAAAATTTCTTATATCAATTTGTTCTTTAATTGTTCGAAATATTTATTAAAAAAGTTGTTAATATTTAAAGTAAAATATTTTTTAGTTTAAAATTAATTGTTCAACTTTTATTCTGTAACATTAAATACTTGGAATTAATAATATATAATGAAATAAAATTATAAAAAGATATATAATATATTTATTGATCATTGTTGAATTAATTTTATTCAAAGCTAAATAAATTATTAGTCTTTAAATATTAATTTTTTGGAAATTAAAATTTTTTTTTTATTTTTAATTGGTTAGTGATAAAAAGTATTTTTTTCATTAAATTCAATTTTAATATCCAGTATTAATGTATATTTTTACAATTTTTATCTTTCTAGATTAATCATATGATGGCATTCATTGACCAAGAAGCCAATGAAAAAGCAGAAGAAATTGATGCCAAAGCAGAAGAAGAATTCAATATTGAAAAAGGTCGTTTAGTTCAACAACAAAGACTTAAAATTATGGAATATTATGAAAAGAAAGAAAAACAAGTAGAACTTCAAAAAAAAATGTATGCATTATTAAGAAAAAATACTATTATTCTAAATATTAGTCTAAAAATAATTTTTAGTGTTATGCTAATGATTATATAATATATTATAATGTTAAAAGAGTAACTACATTTTACTTAATTGATTCAATTTTTCTTATTTTTAGTCAATCATCCAACATGTTGAATCAGGCACGTTTAAAAGTTCTGAAAGTTAGAGAAGATCATGTGCGCAATGTACTTGATGAAGCTAGAAAAAGATTAGGAGAAGTGACAAAAGATACTTCACGATATAAAGAAATTTTAAAATTATTGATTGTACAAGGATTATGCCAGGTACAGGATTTTTTTAATTTTAAAATAATTAAATTTATATCCAAAATATTTAATTATATTTTTAATCATTTTTCTTACTTTTTGTAAAAGTAAGTGAATTTTACAGAATGAATTTACATAATAAAATGTATTTTTGTATATTTTTAATTTATAGTTAACTGAAAGCCATGTTACTATTCGTATACGTCAAGTAGATATTCCTCTAGTAGAATCACTTTTTGATTCTATTCAAGATGCTTATAAATACATAACAAAAAAAGATGTTATAATTAAAATTGATCAAGATAATTTTCTTCCTTCTACTAGTTATGGTGGTGTTGATTTACTTGCCGCAAAGGGTACGTATGACATATATATTTCTTAATGAACTATATTATGTTCTATATATTATACATAATTAAATTAAATTATTGACATCAATTTCTTTTTAGGACGTATAAAAGTTAGCAATACTTTGGAAACAAGATTAGAATTAATAGCACAGCAATTAGTGCCAGATATACGTTCTGCTCTATTTGGAGGCAATCCTAATCGCAAGTTTATTGATTAAACAAATTCCTCTCACATTTTCTTTTTCTCTTCTTTTCATTCTAATCACCTTTTTAACAAAACATTCCCTTCCTTAGGACACTAAATTAATTAAGAATTTGTTGTGTAGAACGTAGAATCTGTTATTGAAATTGTTGAAAAGAGAGAGAAAGTGAAATTGTAAATTATATAAATATATATACACATCATACATAACACACACACGCACACACACACGTGTATGTGTGTGCGTGTATGTGTGTGTACGTACAAACGCGTGCAACACATGCATTCAATATACATATATCTATAAAAGTATTTTATGTGAAAACGATTGTAAATTTTTTTAAAAATGTTCCTCAAAAATCAATGTCCATTCTTTTATTTTAATTAAGTTAATTTCTATTAGAATTTCGAAAATTTTACCTACCATGGTAAGTATAATTACTATCTCAAAAACTGAAAATCTTTGAAGATGATAGTAGATCATACTTTTTTAGATAATTAAGTTTTTTAGATAATTAAATTAAGTTTTTTTCCAAGTAGGCTTCGCTTTTTTTTCATTAATATTTAAAATATAACAAACAAACAAACATTTTTTTTTTTTGTATGTTCACTTTATTATAAACAAAATTAAAAGTAACAAATTTTTATAAAAGTTAAACAATAGAATACATTGAATATCAGAACTGTTAATATTAGAAATTGCTGCACATGTGTATATAGTATAAATACTGCATAGTATTATATACCATACACTAATAATCCCATTTATTACACCCATAAAGAAGAAGAAATAATTAAATTTTAATTTTACAATTGAGATAAATTTCAAATATTATACATTTTACTTTACATAAAATTTTTATTTGTCAAAATCTGATTATTTCAAAGTCCAAATTTTATATTACATATATCAGAAATTATTATTTTTACATTTTTAATATTCTATTTATGTTAGAAATAGAATTTCACATTTTATACTATAAGATCGTAAAACTTTGATTAAAGATGAATTTTTATAAATTAGCGTCAATTTCTCTTTTTTATATATATTACATATATTTAATTGTAAGATAAATTTTTGTATTTTTGAAAATAGGTTTTAGTAAATATAAAATTTTATTGGATGCAAATCCTATTACACTATTAAAAATATTAAAACATTCAATAAGATTATCTAAATCAATTTATCTAAGTTTCATTTTCACTTCTTATAGTTTCTGAGTCTTTTTTATTATTATTAGGATTTTCACTTGTAGAAGGTTTCTCTTCATTTAGTGGGATTATTTCGTTATTTTTCTTAATTTTTTTCAATTGTCCTATAACTTTAAGATAATTATAAGGAATAAGACCAACATTTACACTATTAGTAGCTTTACACCATCCTGGCAAATTTTTTGGTTGTAAAGATCTAGGTGCAAGGTAAACCTTTTGACCAGCTTTAACACTGAGTTCATCATTATTGGTTGCAATAAAATCATAGAGCACTGTTGCAATATATGTTGGTTCTTCACTCTGATGCCATTCTTTTGTATCTTTCTCTAAAAGTTACATTCTTATTTAGTCAATGCATTTCATAATATATAAAATTTAACTATTTAATATTTATTAAAAGTATAAATATTTTAATCTATTTTATATTTTAATACCTTTCATTTGCATGTTTTTAATGCTATCTGCAATTTTATGAATCATATAAGGTACTACAAAAAGTACACTTAATATTAAAAATCTAGACCAAAAAGAAGAATTATGAATACTTTCACTTCCAACTTTTGCTAATGACTTATCCCATAACTCTTCATTTATTGAATTCTGATTTTCAAAACCTAAAAAAAGAATTTAATATATTATTGTAATGTAAGAATATAAAATTGTAAAGTTATCTTATGTACAATAAATTATTAAGTAGGACACATATATCTTATATACAATGTTAAGTAGAATATTATTAGTATATTATCTTACCAAATTAATAACAATTCTAAAAGTTCTTATAAAAATTCTAAGTTTCTGTAATATTAATAGATCTTACCAATAGTATTTATAATTTTTCTATATAACCATTTTAAAAATCTAATCAAAGCAAAAGTGCTAAATAGCTGATTTATAGTGGAGCGTAATTTTCCAACACTTTCTGCAACGCTTAATATTGCTCTAAATGAATTTGTTAAAGCAAAGTATGTAGATTCTAGGAGCATTGTCATGGATGAAAATGTTTGCAGAATTGTTTCTATTAATTGAAAAGTTGGTCTGGTACTTTCTTCAACATACTGGAAAAACCTATTAAAAAATCCACTGATTAAAATTTAATCAACATATAATATATGTTTAATTTATTTTCACATCTAATAATTATAAAAATTATTAATTTTAAAACTCATAAATTACATCTCAAAACTTTAGATTCTAAAAACTTTCTATAATTAGGAATTTAGTTATAGAATTGATGCAAAAAATATATTTTTGGACATTAATTATGATCAAAACAGACATAGCAATTATAGAATTACTATAAAAAAATAACATTTTTAAGGACAGAAGTTTACCTATTTTCTGTATCACCACTGTGTCCACCAATTATCCCATAGTTGTAATTAGAATATGGACCATACGAACTAAACCCCCCATATCCATTAAATCCTCTATATTGATTACTATAACCAAATCCATATCCACCACAATAATTAGATCCAAATGGCCTGTTGTCATTAAATCCAGAATAATTTTGAACTGGTTGACGTGGAGGCACTGGCGGAGGATTTAACGATTGAGTAGTTGAAGAAGGAAATGGTGATGGTGCATTTGATATACTGCAACAAAATTATGTTATTTACAAGCAATATATTGATAATAAACCATATTAAGTAAAAGATAATTATTTGAATTATTATTTAAATATTAAAAATTGTTTTTAAATTACAAATAAGAATGATTTAAAAAAAATAAGAATAGGACTGTTATTTTATTAATTTTTTATTGTTTAAAATGAAATGACTTTCATTATTCCATTTAAATGAGATACTATTTATATCTTATCAATACAAATCACATATATCAAAATTATGTATATCTTTTTTAATCATATATCAAATTTTTAAATACAAGTTTATAATATTAGATTCAATAAATTTTTAAATATAACCAATACCTGGTTATGATGTTAGGTACATTTTTTAATTGATTTACATTAATTCCATTCGTTCTTTCAGGCGCCATACTTTGCAATAATTTACTTATCGTTTTTTCTCCATGAAATTCGCTGTACAAAGTTCATAACCTTTCTACATATGCAAACAGGTTAATTTATCCTTAATGCAGAAATCCACATATAGTTTTTTAACAATTCTATTGCTTCTATTGTAAGACTTCAGACACGTTTTCAAATTAATTTCTTTTATAGTAACATTTCATTATTAAGATATAGTTACTAGTAATTTTGTATTTATTATTTTTTTAATTTTTTAACGTCTTTTATTTTAGTACTTTTATTATTTAATATACATAAAATTCAAATGTATATTCAATCTTTATGTTACCTTAATACTTAAAATTTATAATATTTAAAAATATATTTTTGGCATCAAAAATTTTTAATATTAATTTTAATATAGTATAATAAAATAAATATTAATACGAATATATTAATAAAAATTAAAAATCAATATATTATTTTGTTTTGTGGTTCAGAATATATTGTTCAAAGCACATGTAATTTCGTGGTTCCAAAAATTACAGCATATGGCGTCGTAGTAATCTCAGCTGCACCTAACTTTATTTTAGTAAACCAGTAATAGAGTACAAAAATAAAAATCTTTATTCATTAAACACGAAATAATGTCTAGTTTTGTAGAATTTATTAAGGAAAATATATTGTATGAAATTTTAGCCGTATCATGGCTTTTATTTTTTTGGAGATTATATTTAAATCTTCGTCAGGTAAATATTATAAATTTTGTTTAACCATTAGCAACCTAAATTTTCTAAAAAGTAATTTTACTTTAATATGTAGTTCTTTATTACACAAATTAATTAATATTACATTAACCTTAATATTAAATTCTTATAAATTAATCTTTTTTATTTTAAAGTTTCTTAATTTTACAGAATGGTCCATCCTACTTTTTCACCTTATATGTCTCATTTGTTTTAAAAATATTAAAAAATGTTTTAATTACAAGTTAAATGGTTTTCAGGAAAATATAATTTGATATGATTAGTTCTTTCGTAGGTGATTGCAGAAAGGACATACAAAGATCAGCAATATTTTTTTAAATGGAATCATATATTTTTTTATACATTAATTGATGCAGTTTGTCATTCTTAATAAAAAAATATTAACCTAATAATATAAACAAAAGAAATTAGTTTGGGACATATTTACATTTACTAATTATTTGTACTTGCCATTTATGAGATGAGGTATTAAAAACTCAAAGAAGTTGTTTGGAATTGACTATTGTTAACTTTAATATATCTCAAAGGACAAAAAAATAATTTCTCTGTATTTTTGTGTAACTTAGCTCAGAGTAAACTGATAATAAGTGATGAACAAAAGCGATTATTAAATGTAAGTGTTTTAAAGTAATGACTTGTTAGTATTAATAGACTAATACTTTTCTTGCAGAGAATGATCAGCTATATCAATTAATGTATTAAAAAACATATGACCCTATTTAAATGCAGGTAATCTTTATATATCCTCTCCGTAATGATCTATAAAAAGGATAATTATATCAAATATACTATATATAAAACCAAATATTTATAAACATTTTTTATTTAATATTGTAATAAGTTGAAAAAATTATACTTTTGATTTATAATTTTGTTATTATTACTGAAATTAAATTAAAAAACACAATACTCTCATCAATATAAATTTGTGTTTTTAGAGAGCTTTTATGATGCATTTGAACAATTATCCTAAATCTGTTGAAGATTTAATGACAAAAGATATTTATGAGAAAGCACACAGTTATTTATTAGATAAATTAAATTTTGCTAATTTCAAAGATATATGTTCTGAACTTTTTACAACGGTATGGAATTTTTATTTACTCATGTGTATAAATTACATTATATTGCTTAAGAATAAATGATGGTTTTTACAATATTTTAAGCATTTGTATATTTATAGGTTTTTTTGTTAACTTTATCTTATCATCGATTTTGGCTATGGAGTATTGATGTGGTAAAATATTTTGGCTTTGATAGTACAAATGAAATTCTCCTAAGTGGTGTTTGTATGATGCTTATGAATACTTTTCATGAAATAATATTTTTACCATTTAAGATTTACTTCACATTTGTTGTGGAACAAAAACACGGATTTAATAAAGAAGTAAGGAAATACAAATTTTACTTGTAATATTATAAAACTGCTTTTCACTTTATTAATTTAATGTTATTAATTTTAGACACCATTATTCTTTGTCAAAGATCAAATTCTTAAATACATTGTACGTGAAATAATTACAGTGCCTCTTCTATGTGCTATACTGTGGATTATAAAGAATATGGGAGACTATTGTTTTCTTTATCTGTGGATATTTTTAATAATTGCTACTCTCTTCTTTATGATTATTTATCCACATGTAATTGCTCCACTCTTTGATAAATATACGCCTCTTCCAAATGGAGATTTGAAAACAAAAATTGAAGCATTAGCAGCATCAATTAACTATCCACTTTGTAAAATATTTATTGTTGAAAACTCAAAAAGATCTTCACACAGCAATGCATATTTATATGGCTTTTACAAATATAAAAGGATCGTTCTATATGATACTTTAGTGAAAGAATACTGTAAACCAGCAGAAGGTGAAACAGAAGCAAAAGGATGTACTACAGAGGAGGTATTATCAGTATTGGCACATGAATTAGGACATTGGAAATATAGTCACACATTAAAACTGTTTATGTTTGGTCAGGTAAATTTTTAACTTGTGTATTTACTAATCATGTTGTTTTACTTTCAAATTTATAAAAATATTTTTTCAGCTGCATTTGTTAATGAATATGTATGTATATTCAAAACTCATGAATTTTAAACCTATTTTTGAGGCTTTTGGATTTATGGATACACAACCTACATTTATAGGATTTATTATTATTACTATATATATTACAAGTCTTCCAAATGTAGTAAGTTTAATTTATTGTTTTCATGACTAGATCTTCATATGACCTTTCTAATAATCATAAAGAATGAAATTTTATAATATCATATTTTATATGATATGAAGATTATTTTGTACTGTTAATATTTAATTTATATATACTTTATAAAATAGCTGCATTTAAAATAATATAACTTTTTTTTTACTATTTTTTCAGTTACTACAATTTATAACAACTGCGATTAATAGAAAATTTGAATTTGAAGCAGATAAATTCACAAAAGTTTTGGGACATTCACAAGCACTAAAAAGCTCTTTAATTAAGCTAGAAAAGGATAATCTTTCTTATCCTCTTTATGATAAGTTATATTCTAGTTATAATCATAGCCATCCTCAAATACTTGAAAGACTTGAAGCTGTCGATAAAGAAGATTAATTGTAATCATTGTTTAACATTATTCATAACATTTTAATTCATCATAACGATGATTATGAAATGGTTATATTATGTAGTATAGTCATAAGATGACATAGTTGATAGTATAGTATAATCATATAAATTTTACAATTTGTAATTTATGTATAATTTACTATTTAAATAATGGTAAAAGATATGATTTATAACTAAACATTACAGGATTAATTTAATTTATTGCACACTTATGATACATTTAAAAATCACAAATCAAATTAAAATAGTTAAAATCTTTTGATTATATATACAATGAAAATTATTAATTTACCGAAGTAATATAAAAAAGTAAAAGTCAATTATTTGTTAAATAAAAATTTTATTTTACCGAATCATAAATAATTATATTGATAAATTTAGTTAAAATAATAAATAATTACTAACAGTAATTTTTAATATAATTTAATTTTTAAAACAATATTACAAAGCATTTTGATTCTGAATACATTACGAAATAACTATTACAAATAGCATTTATCTAAAGCAATGTATGAAATTCTAATTTTCATATATTTTATTTAGATTTTACTTAAGTAATGTATAATTAAAATTTAAATATGTTAAGTTTATTGCATTTTTTTAAGCAATATATTTTAATTTAATATTGTCATATTTTGTAGTAATATTACATGTTATAAAATATATATCTTATAAAATAAAAAGCACATTACTATTCACTAAAATGAAAAAATGCTGAAGTTTATTCAGCATCAGATATATAAAGATTTAACAGTTATCTTTGTTTTGTTTATAGGTTGTAATGCAAAGTCAAAATACCCTTAAAGAAGTATATTATATACATAAATGATGTCATATTTGATACATAGAATTTCTATTAAATTTTATTACTTATTATCATTTTTAGATCTTAAGGCATTTATGAGATATCATTATATATACATTTCCCTGTAACATATAATTTTTATAACAGCAAATTAATACATGTATAAATGGTATTAAATTTTTCTTAAACTCTTATTAAATAATTCTCAGTACTTTAATTATATAGAATACCTTTTTTTTACTTTAACATTTATTGTAAACTTAATATTTCAGAATTTTAATAAAATTTTTAAAGGAACATTTATTACCATATTTTGTGTACACTAAAGTTAAAAGTTCCTTGTAAGAAATGTAAAATTTAAACAAAAAAATTATGATGAAAGATAACAAAAACGAATTGCTCTTTTTTATTATTTATGTTACTTCAATTTTATCTCATTTTTCTATGTAAAAATAATGCAATATTCTATAATTCTAAATTATAAAAAAATGTTTAACATTTAAAAAATTTGTATACAAATTAAAAAAATTAAATAGATTACAAAATAGTGAAAATAAGTTAGATAAATTATTTAACATAGTATGATGTTCATATTGCCATATACATTCATATCTCAATTTTATTAAAATGCTCATGTTTACAATAAATACATAAGATTGAGGAAAAACCACGCAATAGATCCATTTGTTATTTCAAGATGTGTTGTGCCTGAAACAAATAATATTAAAACATATTTAGTTCAAATTATATATCATGTAAATAAAATTATTTTTGCACTTACATTATCAGTTTGAAATAAAAATTGACCTATACATGTTTATATGTATTGAATATTTAATTTGTCATTGACACATTTAATTAAGTATATAAAATTGACAATATATTTATGGTTTTTACTGTACTTGTTATTTATCAACTTATTCTTATTTTAAATAAAATGACAAATTTTAAATATTAATTTTATTTTGGCATAATTGAAGAAAAAGCTTTAATTATAAAAAAAAGTCATAAAATATTTAAGTAACTTATTTTAGTTAGTAACTTTCACATATATTATTCACATATATAATTCAATGCCCATTATCTTTTTACGAGCTGAGTAAAATAATTAAATGTAAATTATAAAATTATCTTTTAGTAATGTTTAATATGTATATGTATGTATAAATTATTTCATAAAATATGGAATTATTAAACAAATTTATTAATTAAAACATTTAAATGAATGAAAAGGTTTTAATAAAATAAGTTTTTAATAATTTATAATTAAAATTGGACGCAGATATTATTTAGTTCATAATATCTTGTGTTATGTAAGTTTTGGTATTATTCGCTGTACTTTTTTGTAAAGAAGTTCACAAGATTTTTATTTTTATTTAAGCAACAAGTCAGTTATATGATGAAATTATATTACTATATAGTAATTTAAATTGTTAGTAATGCCCTAATCATGGTATAATTAGTAGCCATAAAAAACATTAACGACTGTTCAGTTTATATTGAAAATTTGCCATTCTTCAAATATCCAAATCTTACAAAGTATTTTCTACATTGGACCACTTATGAATATTTGATAACTTTTAGATGCTTTGTGCATGAACACGTGAAAATTCGAGGTTACTTTATATATGCAAGAATTCTAAACCTGATATTGACCACGAACTTGACGCATGTGCATACCAAATGTTTTTTCATCGATCGAATCGATGTCAATAACAGGTTATAAAATGCATTATATTTAATTAAAAAAAATTATTTCTACGTTAAACAAAAATTATATATTGCACGAAATCAATCGCGCATAACTTACTTGATGTTTAATTGAGACATTACAAATTATAATACTACTATGATAAAGAACATTAAAAATAGACTTTACAATGATTTATACATTTATAATACTTATTCTGTTCAATCCTGTTATTAGTAATTATTAATGTATATAAATATGTAAACAAATATTTACATAAATGATCAATTACCTGCTCGTGTGAGCAAATTAAACGTGATTTTTATCATTATAGTTCAAATTTTTAACTTTACTAAAACAAAGAAGTGGAATTTTTTATTTAAACTCTACTCCGGAGTGGTGCACGGGCTCTTTCAACTACTTTCAATTTTTAAATATTTCTTTATACTTCAAGAAACTTATAATATTATGATTTGTTAAAAAAAAAAAAACATCCTGAACGAACTTGAATTTATATGAATTTTTGAAGTATGATTTTTAAATATCTTGATGATTTAAAAATTATTAATTTACCACTTATTTATAATTTAATACAAATAAAAATCAATCTGAAATTAAGCAAAATATAATATAAATAATTCTAAATAGAAATGTGCAATATTGCAAACGAAAACAATAGTATTATCTTAAATTCGTCAATTAGTTCTAATTAATTAAAATACATAATTTTGTTCTTTGTTCAAAAATAAATTTCTGTTATATAATGTTTTACTTATATGTAAATATCAATTATATTTATTATTATTGCACATCAGTTATGTATCAAAATTGCATATTTTTTTTTATCTAGCTATTATAATAATGCTGTTAATTATTAAACATGCTATTAACATAATCATACTTACAAAATTAATTAAAAATCATATTGATAAGTAAGATCAATTTAAATACTCAACTTATAATTGAAAAAGATTCATTGGAAAATAAATTAAATCCAATGTTTCTCTTAATTGATTGAAACATTTAAAAATAAAATTTCCGAATTCTTATGGAAAATACTTAATGTTATCTTAAAAAGAATTATTTCGTTTCAATCATCAAGTTTTTCGTAGAACAAATCAACAAATTTCATTCTTTTGTATAGGTTCGTTCAGGAAGAATAATAGTATTTAATATGTATAAATAAATAAATAAATTTATTTATTTATTTATATATATGTATATATATATATGTGTATATATATAAATATAATGAGTTATAAAACACAACAGTACCTTGCACTTGTCGCTCAGTTTGAGCGCAAGCGACCTGGTGGCTGGTGTTCCATCGTCGTGTGGCGACAGAGAGAGAGAGACTCACGCATGTGAACACACGAGTATGAGTACTGAATAAGTATCCAAAGCTGCTCTGAAAAGATTTCATTCCATTCCGAATATCGTCACAAGTGCTTGTTTTATTTTTTACTGGTTTACAAATTTTGTTGTGTCCCACAGAGCAAAATCTACTAATGTCTCCGATTACAGAATATACCCGCTTTAAAGTTTCTTTAATAGATTACTCGATATTCGGAGGAAAAATTTTTCAGATAAAAATTGCACAGTAGAAGAACTGAACGGAGTAATATGTTAATTAAAACGACCTTAAAATTAATTTAAAAACATTTAACGATTTAATGATTGTTCATTTAAAAACAATCATTATGTAAAAATATTTTCTTTAATGCAAATTAAAAAAAAGTGTAAATTTAACTAACCATTAGAATACTTAGTATTAAGTAATAATAATGTCCATTATTTTTATATCATATGTTCTCAGTAAAATAAAAAAGAAAAAAAAAAGAAAAAAACGTCTTTTTCTTACAGTTTATCTATAAACAATTATTTAAGATATTTATTAAAAAATGGAAAGTAGCATTGATAAATAATATTTAATTGTCTTATTTTTTCAATGACGACTCCCAGACATAATCTTTTTAAAACCAATTTTATACAATATTAAATTTATATATGTAATTTTTAATACTTTCTAGGAGAAAATAAAGATAATTCCGGGAGCCAAGCGGATTGAAAGGCTGTAATTCTGCTTATGAAGAAAGACGTTATATAGAAAATATTTATTTTTCGTTTGATTGAGCCGCGCCGAACATCGGCGCTATATATATTCTCGCTTTTCTTCACTTTCTCTCTCTCTTTTTCCTCTTTCATAAACACTTACACACGTGCAAACACTCACTTTGTCACTCTCTACATTCTCTCTCCATTCATACCTATACACATATATATTTATATATATATATAAATATATATTTATATATTCATATGTATATATATAATCTCTCTCTCTATCTATTTAAATATTTGCGATGGTAGAATCTTGTTTATCCGAGTTAGTGGTTATTTGTTTTACCTATTGACTTTTTCCGTTGATTAAACATTTAAGAATTAAAAAAAAATTGTTCTATTTTAATTGAATAAAAATTAAAATAAGTA